ACCCTCGGCGGGAGCACCGCCGCACTTCCCAAGCGGCGCCCTATCCAGTGCGCCGCCGGGCCGGCCCCGTGTCGTGGGTTTCTTTACTGTAAATTAGGAATAGCAATAGACCTACCTTACAGGATGTGGGCGAAAATTAAGGGTTTAAATTATATAAAGCATTAAGAGCTATGCCAGACACATAGCATTTTAAGCCTATATAAGTGTTCGCTATTACTATGTCATATTATATTATATTATGTATTATTAATCCCCTGCCATTGACTTGTGAATGGCCACACTCCCCTGACCACACTTTCCCACCTTGTGAAATGGACATAACCAAAGGACAAGAAGAGAAGATGCAATGAAGTAGGCTGTGGGAAGGATCTGCACCCTCTGTGAATCTACTCTGCAGGCAGGTCAACTTCAGAGATTCCACCACCCTAGACAAACAAGATTAGGTCAGACTAACAACCCCAACTTGCACTCTTCCTTAAAGGGGTGATTTCCCCCATTGTTTGTGGAGAAATCCAATAACACCAGATAAGCAACTTGAATATAAATGCAGCACCAATTGCCACTGAACAATCAATACTCATATTTTACTGAACTCCCAGGGAGATTCCAAAAATTTGTTGGAGAATGCCCTGGGGTCAGTCACAAGATCCAGCACTTGGTGGGGGCCTATGACCCTAGTCATGTCGCTTGCCTTCTCTAGGTTTCAGTTTCTCCCTGTGCAAAAACACCTTCCTTCACAGTGTGGTTGTGGTAATTAAATGAAGTAACATATCTGAATGCTTTGAAAACTCTCCCACACTACACATTTGTAAGGTATAAAAATACTGTTCTTATCTCACAAGAAGGAAGGTGCTAGAAGTAAAGAGAACAACCTCGTTGCTCTCCCGCTGCCATAGAACATGCTGTGGCGTGAAACTGCCCTATAATGAGGCTGCTTTTATTTTGTTTTTTATAACCCAAGGCTTTCCTAATGATTAATTCTGCTCTGTGACAAATAGTGCTATAGAGATGTCACGGTACATTGATTTTGATTCATAATGTTTAATAGTATTTAGACACACACAATGGGTTGGATTTGATTTTTTTTACCCTTGCTCTTCCTCAGCAACTCCAGATGCTGTTTGGCCTAAATGCTATAGTTCGGTTGCCATTTCCAGTTGAGAGCTGGGGTCCTGACTACCACTTCCAACAGGGAACCTGGCAATTGTGGGTAGTTAAGAAGAAAGGGGGCCAAGCCCGTGGCGCACTCGGGAGAGTGCGGTGCTGGGAGAGCAGCAGCGCTCCCGCCGCGGGTTCGGATCCTATATAGGGATGACCGGTGCGCTCACAGCACTCACTGGCTGAGCGCGGTGTGGCTGGTCTCAAAAAGGACAAAAAAAAGAAGAAAGGTATAGGAGATACTGATGAGGCAGGGACGGGGTAGTCAGCCAACTTTTCATGCAGATAGGTTCACAGTTTGTTGTCTTGAGACGGCAAAATGCTGAGCCAAGGCTGGTCACCTGCAGCCTCCACAATGCTACGAACAGCAGCATTTTCTGCACACGTCTTGTCCAGAGGAGGTCAGGGAGCACAGTGCAATGGCATAGGGTGTGGGAGGGTACTTCAAAATAGAATTGACAGATAATACGAGCCTTCTCATGAACTGTTTAAAGCATCCTCTTATCTTGCATATTTCACAATCTCCATCTCCTTTAATTCTCCCACCAACTAGTCTCTCTCCCCCAACCCATTTCACAGGGAGGAACCTGGAGTTAAAGGGAGGGTATGTGACTGGTCCAAGACCACAGAAAATAATTAGGAGAGCCAGGAAGGGCTCCCAAGCTTTCTCTTCTCTTACAGTCACTTCTCTGTCCTGCTCTCTTCCTTCCTCCTTTCCTCTTGTGTTTCTGCTTTTTAATCAGTTAAGTGCAAATTTTAAGTTTAGAAGAGTGACAGAAGAAACAACATCTATTCTTGTTCATTTCTTAACAATGGAACATTTGAAAAAAAGTAGCAAAACATCACTCAACCTATAACATCCAAATATCAATAAAGCTAATTCACATTTTAGTGATTTTTATTCTGTCCCTCTGCCCTTACTTTTGCATATTTGGTAGTGGTGGTCCCTGCTTTGTGGTTTTGCTTCTACTGTTTTAAACATGTCGTATACATGAGTTTGAATTTTACTTTTGTAGCTTAGCATTGTAATTTCACCATTTGCCCATGCTGTTTAATTTTTGTAGATATCATTTTAATGGCCAAGTAATATTCCTCAATAATATTTTGTCACATGGGTAAACTATAGATAAGTATAAATGTTAAATATTTAAGTTTCAAATTCAAATTTTCTGATCCTCACTTCTTTACTGCAGCCACTCTGCCATTCTCTATTACTTAAATTGATGGCATTTTTTTATCCCACCTGTGCATGAAATTCTTGACATCTTATCGTTCAAGACAGTCGTGATTAAATGACACAAGCAGGTTCTTTAAAATTAAAAATAATTCTTAAAATATTTAGATCTTCCAATCACCTCTGCTGAACAGACATCCTTCGTCCCGTGACAGAAGGAAGCTTCTGTAAGAACCAAAGAGATCAGCAAAGCAAATTCAAATTTCCAAAAATCCATGATTTCTTGAAAATTATCTTCTTGAGTTCTCTCTAATTTTATAATATTTCAACCTCATAATTTTTAAAGGAAACCATTAAGAGAAACAACACTGGTCTGGCCAGTTATCTCAGTTGGTTAGAGCATGGTGTTATAACACCAAGGTCAAGGGTTCAGATCCCCATACTGGAAGGCCCCTCCGCACAAAGAGAGAGAGAGAGAGAGAGAGAAACAACTCTGAGAAAAAGTAAAAAACAAAAAAATTTCTATAATCAGGCCCTCTGCACCTCAATCTCAGCATCACATGCTTAACAACACATTTTTAAATAGAAAGAAAGATGCGCTTTTTTGCCAATATTGTTTTTCTGTTCTTTTCTCCAACAGAATTCAAGGCAGCTTTTCCATCACAAACCCCGCCTAAACCTAGAGCAAGGTAATAGTTTTCTTTGGGGATAAATCAGGTGTAATCACACTTAGGGGTGATGTCTCAGGAGCCTCTGGAGACCCAAAGACAAGGAGCTGGGTGGGGTAGAGTGAGGGAGCAGGACCCTGAAGTGGGGGGGCCTTAGTGGAGTCTGTCCCAGAAGCCACACTGCTCACCCCTGCTGCTCGGACACTCATAGGGGAGGGACGGGTACCAAGATCAGAGTCCTGGGTGCCCAGAACTACAAGAGATGAAAGGGAAGAGACTGTTGAGTCTGGAGAGAGGGTCTCAACCAGGGAGAGACAGGAAAGGGCTGGAGTCAGTGCTCTCAAGAGAACACGTGATGAATGCCCACAAGGAAGTTGCAGTTTATCCAGGAAGAAAATAAGCCCAGGCATGTTTCCAAGGTTTAAATGATCATTCAGTAAACACTCATCAAAATCCTGCCACAGGGCTTGGCACAAGTTCAACCATCAATAAAATATCTACAGAATAAGAGAGTAAATGTCCTTGCTGTGCCCAGCTGTTGAGAAACCAGGCTGTGGGGTACACAAGACTTCCAATCCGCAGTCCTTGTCCTCAGTCTCCTACTCTACAATCCTTCCCCAAGGGATAATCACAGTGGCGGGAGGGGGGTCATTTGTCTCTACGGGTGAAGTGGGTTGACACTAAATCTGAAAACGCACAAGGCGGGTTTGGTTAAGGTGAGCAGCAGGAATGAAACAGAACCACGGTTCCAGGTTGGGCACAGGGCTCCGTGCAGGGTTGCTGGCCGCTTTTGCTCAGCACTGGCCCTGCTTCCATGCTGCAGCCTCCAGAGGCCCTCAGGGTGGCTGGCAGGTGACACCCCCACTAAAGGCGATGTGCACGTAGGGGAGTGGCTTCTCCATAGCCCCCTTCACCTCAGTTACTGACACCCAAGGCAAGTGAAGCGGTGGGGCCTAACAGTGAAGTGAGCACCTTCAAGGTGATGGGGAACAGGGGCACTAGAGCCAGCGTGCCTGGGTGTGAATCAGCTGGTGTCATAGCACGTACTCTCCTGTACCTCACACCCAAGGCAAGTGAAGCTGTGGGGCCTAACAGTGAAGTGAGCACCTTCAAGGTGATGGGGAACAGGGGCGCTAGAGCCAGCGTGCCTGGGTGTGAATCAGCTGGTGTCATAGCACGTACTCTCCTGTACCTCAATATCATCTGTGAAACAAGAGAGAAAGAGTTTGGGCCTCACGGGGCTGCAGTGAGCAGCGTGTGAGCACCAGCCCATGGGCAGGGCGTGCTCGGTGAGTGCTGCAGCTCCCCATGAACCAGCAGGCAGAAACGAAGCACATCTGGGGCACGATTCGAGAACACTGGCCAGCTTTATTCCACATACACACACCTGTCCGATCCTTTATTCATATTCCAGCTGAGGGGGTTTTCTGTTCCAGGGCCCCAGGGAAAGCTGTGAGGACCCAAGAGGCCCTGGAGCCCTCACTGGTGTCCATATGCTCTTTGGCTTGGTCCCCAGGAGCCAGATCTGGCCCTCAGAATGCTCACGGAGGCCCTGGATTTTCCTCACACAAGAGAGCTGAACCCTCCACAAACCCATATGGGCAAAACCCTCCACAAACCCATATCCTGTGTGTGTATGTGCATGTGCGTGCATGTGTGTGCACATGTGTACGTGTGTGTGTGAAGGCAGGGGTTGGAACAGGGGAGCAGTTACAGACAGATCAAGCATTTCATGGGTCTCTGATAAACAGGAAGGCCACAAGCCGCCCCAGGCCTGTCCCTCTCCCACCACCCTGAACATGCTGGAGGTCCGCCAGGCACCCGCCAGGTGCCTATCCCGGTATAAAGCAGCTGCAGAAGCAGACCTCCAGCGGTCAAGGCTCCCCCTGATCGAGGATCCAACAGCTCCTGCTTGCACCGTCTCCACTGAGCACAGACCCTGGAGCTAGTACTAAGCCCAGATAGGCCGGAACCCCAGTCCTGCTTCCTGGCAGCTGAGGCTGCAGCAGAGCCCTAGCTGGCACCCCAGAAGACCCTGCAGCGTCCCAGCCTGGGGCAAGCGTGGCAGAAAGGGTACCAGGGAATGACCAGACTGGCCAACATTATCTCGAGTATAACCACCTATGTGGCAGATTTGACTTTTCGAAGTCCTCACCTGGGGACTTGCATTATCTCCTTGGGTCCCCGTGGGCACCTGGTGAGTAAGGCAGGATAGGCATTATCTCCTTAGAAGGATAAAGAAACAGGGGCCCAGGGGAGTCGCCTGATCTGGCCTGGAGGCCCGGAGGGGGGCAAAGGTTGACACTTGCCTAAGGAGCTCACCTGTGTCCACTTGTTCTTGATCCCTGTGGTCACCTGACCTAAGACCCATCCATCTTGCCACCTGTCCTAGGATCCCTTTTCAGTGCTGTGTCCTGACAGCACAGCTGCCCTGCCCCAGCCAGCAGGGCCGGTGCAGACCCAGGCCCTCCCACTGGTTCCCGGGGGAGCCTGCAGGACCTGCCTATAAAGCCTACAGACACTGAGGGTGCCTGCCAGCTAGAACAAGCAGCCTACTCCTCTCTCCTCAACCTCACCTCGAGCCTCAGACTTCAGCCCCCACCCCGCTACCTGTCTCTGCATCGGGAACCCTGACTCAAACAGGGACCGGGCCCACCTTTCTTCCCCTGATGAACAATAGCAAACAGGTAACTTATACCCAATGTGACTCTGCTGTAATGCAAGAACCAGCATTTAAGCTCAGGTCATCTGACACCAAAGTCTATGTTTTTCCTACCAAACATAGTCACCGCCATTTCTGTGTTGGGCATTTTCCCTTGCACCTGTCTCTGCCAGTTGGGACAGCTCACATGAAAGAACTCCAGAACCAAAACACCCCAAAGTCCCCTCTCATTCCTTTGAATTGCAATTTCTTGCCCCCAGTTAAAAGCCAGATTTCTGAGAAAAGACACAGTGTGGGTTGGTGTGTTGGGATCATCGCTCTTTATCCTGAGCTGCCAGATAATAGGCCTGCTCCCCACACACAACGTGCTGCCGTCAGGCCCTCTGGAAAACGTTCTTGACGGTGGTAGTGCTTGTGGTGAGCCAACTACGGGGACAGACCTCAGTGCTTGATTTTCAACTGTGGTGACATCTACTTTGATATTTTTTCTACTCTGCCTGAGGCAACCGTGAGGCAAAAAGGCCACTAGAATGAGCAGGGTTGTGAGCCAGGCAGGAAGGGAAATGTTCTGGAACATTCAACAGTTATGGCAGTGCTGCTCAGTGGCCCTTGAAGGCACCCACAGATCCTTTCTTTCTTTAGTAAAGCAGCAGTTGGCGACATGTGGCTCTGCTGCCCAGAATGACACACAGGCCTATTTTCCATGATCTGCAAGCTGGTCCCTTCTAACCTTGTGACATCTGCCATCTGGGGCTGGCAGGAAACTGCAGGTGCTGGAGAGCAGCCGCTGCCACCCCAGCCTCCCAGCCTGTCACAGAACTGGGTTCTGATCCCAGTCCCAGTCTGGAAGTTGAGCAGCTCCTGTGCTCCCCTCTGACAGGAGCGTGGCCACTGGTACCTCTCAGGGGACCATCGTCCCAGCTGTCTCACCTACCTCGGCTGCCTCTCCTCCAGTCTCTGAACCTGAACCTGCTGCTGAGTGTCCTGACATGTGCACGACGTTGCCTAAATCCTACACAAGAGAACGGGCCAGTCAGACGGACTGGACCTACGACAGCAAGCTGGGTAAGGGAAGAGCAGCCTGCAGGTCTGCATTCAGCCGGGTGCTCTGTGGTCTTGCAGCCTTTCGTTTGTGTGAAATACTGTGCTTTGGGTCTTGTCTCTCATGCTAGTGATATTTGCTGTTTTCTGTGCCATCCAAAGGCATGTTTGGGGTAAGAAGTCGACCCCTCTGCTAGCCCTGCCACCCCTTTCCTCCATCCCAGACCCCCACCCGAGAAAGAACATTAGCAAAATACTGAAGCAAATATCTTCTCAGTCTCTCCCTGTCTCCTCCCCTCTTCCTGCATCAGTCTTCCTGTTCTTGTTCTGCGTGAACACAGGCACTATTTCCCTCAGGGACACACACCATTTCCTTCCCAGATTACAGACTGGCTCCCTGGGGTATAGGCAATATGGAGAACAGCACATGGGCCCAGCTCAGACTCTTTCTCAGCATGCAGTCAAAGCCAGCCCCGATTCAGAACCAGCCAAAACCATCCATGTAGTGAACTTTCTTTGCCATGACTGGGAGACACACAGGAGAGAGTTTGGCAAGATTGCATTGAGGGTCTTAATTCTCTACCCAATTAAGCCCAAAGAGCTGTCACTCCAGGGTCCTGGGGATGGAAGACTGAACAGCATTTCCCACCATTATTAATCATTTAAATCCAGCCTTAGTTGGATCGATCCATCTCTGATTCACAGATTTATTTCACATCTGTAGTCATGGCAGCAGTAAATTAGATTCCCCACCACTTCACCTCCCTGCCCCTATCTGTACCTGCTAAATGATGTAGCTCAAATGTGGTTAAACGAAATGAGGAGCCACAGTCCTCTAAGGGAGGACGGAGAGGCAGAGGCTGGGCCTGCATGAGCCAGCACATGACGAGGAGTGTTTCACAGGCTAAGCTGGTTCATTTGGGATTTGTGTCAGTATGTGTGCTCTCCTGGGGCCCTGAGAACTGGAACCATTCCAAAGTCAGCACGACAGCCGGGAAAAATCTGAGCATTTATCTAAATATTCATAAGCACGATTCTGAAAATCATTTACTGGGTAATCGCCAGTAAAGTGCCAATGCTAAGCTTGAAAGGATGTGGGAGAGGAGTAAGGAGATAGGAAAAGCTGGAGTGGGGGGGGAAGGGGCTCGAGCCTGTTCATCCCACGGTGGGCCCACCCCCAGAGAGGGGCCCCACCGAAAGCATTGTTTGATTTGCACTGTTCACCCACGATCCTTTTGGTCTTCAAGCTTAACAAATAGAGCTAGTCACATCTGTATTTCATTTAGTTGTAAGCACCAGGCATATTTGGCCTATATGGGCATGTTTTGCAGCTGTGTGTCTTTCCAGTACTGAACTCCTTAAAGCCAACATATGCTGAGTGTTTAGCAAAAGTCTACTGTCCACACACAGTAAATGTCTACTGATCTAATTAAGTGCTGTGACACTGGTAGCCTGAGCCAGAGGTGTGGATTATGTGGGAGCCCCTCAACCAGGTCCAGTGACACACCCCAGATTCCTGCAGTTACTCGGGGGGGATGGTCATTGCAGCAGAGATTGAAACACAAGGAAAAGCAAGCAATTTGCTAAAATTCAAGGAAGTTTTTCTTTCCCTTTCTGCCTATGGTTTACAGCTTATTGTTCTGGGGAGCATTGGTGGTAATAGGTTCATGTTTGTGTCTGGCCAATGGAATAAAGCAAGTCTGACAAAGAGTGACAAAGAATGGGTAGACTGAGCGGCTCTCGGGGCTAGGGCCACCACTAAATGTCAAGCGTATATTCATGGGCTAGACAGCCACGTTGGCTACCAATACAGCCACAGAAAGGAATCATCCATCTCCAGTGGCAGCCGCCTAGCGTCAGGGAAGCCATGCTCCTGTGACTCAGGCTAAGAGAGAGAGAAGGCAGCAGGGGAGCTGCTCGTGCTTCCTGCCAAGCCGTCCTGTGTACCGACTTTGAAATATTTCCAGTTCGCAGCTCCGCCAGAGCCCATATTCTGACAAAAGTCCCAAATGACCCAGGGAGCACTCAGGAGGAGCTTCCTCATTCCCGCACTTGGTATCAAACACAGGCTGGCCACATGCTTGCAGAGGAGGTGAAAGAGCATGGCACTTCCCCATGAGGGTGCCGGGCTGTGAGTGAAGGAAAGGGGCAGGAGGAAGCCAGCAAGTGGGGAGCCCCAGGAAGGCAGAGGAGCTCAAAACCGAGTCAAGAGGAGGTAGAGGAAAGGGACACAGGGAAGACAGCAGTGTAGGAGGGGAAAGCCAGTCCTTCTGCAGTTAGAGTACAGATTACTAAGGATTCCCAAGTGTGGTATATGCAGAAAAGAATCTGCTTTAAGCCAGGGCAAAAGCCACCCATCCACTTGTTGGAGAAACACATGCAACCACAGCAAATGCTCTACAAGGAGCCGGTAGCATGGGGCCGAGGGCCAGCATGAGCCCGCAGAGGTGAAACCAGGCGTGGGCACCACTGCTCCTGGGGCTCAGGATCGCACATCCCTTTGGCTGGGTGCTTAGAGCCGGTAGCATGGGGCCGAGGGCCAGCATGAGCCCGCAGAGGTGAGACCAGGCGTGGGCACCACTGCTCCTGGGGCTCAGGATCGCACATCCCTTTGGCTGGGTGCTTGTAAAGAAGTGGATTCACAGCTCTTAGCAGAATCCCTGCCCGAGATGGCCTGAAATCTGCATTCTTAACAAGATCCCCAGAGGATTATTGGACACACGAACAATGGAGAACCACAGAGCTCTAGTTTAGGATGAATTTCGTGGGTGCTAGACTTCTGTTTCTAAAGCATTTTTTTATGGGATTGCTCAACCCCAGAGGGTCAGAAATGGCATTTTACATGACACGGCCCTTCCTCAACAAATAGGACTTTGAACCAAATATGGAGGGGAAGTACCCAGATAAATCTTTGAAACCTATTACTCCAGAGGGTGGCAGGTCTGACATGAAAAGAATGCTGAAGGCACAGGAAATACCTCATGATCCATATGAGGAGGTGTTCAGGAGGACCAGAAAGACTATTTATAGCCTCACATGTCTATCCATCCAAGCACAGAGCAGGGTCATAAACAAAGTAGACCAGAAATTCTAACACAGAGCATTATATCCACGCTTGCAGCAATCCTCGAGATGTAATGCCTGGCCCATAGCAAGCACCTATAAATATTTGTTGAATACTTGTGAAATTTTTGTTGAACCCTCATCTGATTCAAGATCAGATCACGGTGATACAAAGGTACATCCTACCCCAAAGAAACAGTGGTGGTAGAAAGAGGGCTGTAGATAGAACACTGTATGTGTAGAAATATGGGTAAAGGATAAACAGAGCGGGGGAGTGATACTTCAAGCCACCTGGCCAGATGGAGAAAAGGGTTGGAAAGCTCCCAAAAGTGCAAATGAGTGTGTAATTTGCACAAATTTTTCTTCAGTGGACTCAGAGTTTGAAAGATCACATGCAGAGATTAATGAATGTAGGACAATGAATGTAGGGAAATGGCTCTGAATTTTAAGAATAGTGTCAGGAAAACTGAATCCCAGGATAAACATTCTTACCAAAAAGTAATAAAAATGATAATGACAATACAGGCAGCAACAAAAGAAAGGGGTCCTTTTAAAATTTAACTGGGGCAAAAAGATCAAGGCAGACAGGCTGCTGTTGAGCACGGTATTGAATGATTCAGAGAAGGTCAAGTTGTTCAACTGCTGTTTAATTTTGACTTCACTGTGAAAGAAAGTCATCTTCAGGTTGTAAAAGATGCACCATAATTAGGGAAGAAATAGCAGAAACCAAAGATTCTCAGAAGAGAAGGGTAACTGCTGTCTTTTGACCTGGATAAAATACACTTAGAATAAATAGAGAGAAGAGCTTAATCATTTCTGGTTTTTGAGGAATTGTGGTAAATCAAGAAATGAGTCAGTGACCATTTGGGGGCAAATGTTGAGAGCAAAATGACCATAAGAAACCACATAGGATCAGTAAGAGCGAATCATGTAATACTGGCTTTTACGTCACTTTGTGACAAGGTTACCAGATTGGGGAACTGTGGTTGCCCCGCAGGGCCACATTCCATAGGCATTTCATTTCCCAAGGCTTCCTGGACAAGAAAGAGAAATATTAGGTGGATGCTAATGAAGCTGATGGGACAACAACTGAATGAACACTGCCCAGAGACACCGTTTAATGGAGAAGGTGAATCCTGTTTCCAGCGGAGAGCCGCGGGGCTCTGTCCAGTACATTTCTATAATAGGCCTGGGTGCAGGAATACAGTGTAGATGTAGAAGGAATATTTATATTTGTAGATGACCTGAAGTTGTTGGATGATGGGGATAACGTAATCAGATTCTAAGTGATTTTGACAGGCAGAAACATCGAACTGGAATTAGCTAGATAAAATGATATGTTAGTAATTTACATTAGACCCTGCTGTTAGGTCCCCCAAAACAATAGGATGGAAAACTACACGTGGGGAAGTCCTGTTTCTTGTCAGGTGCTTGGCTCAACCACAAGCTCAGTATGTCAATGGCACAAATGATGTGACTCCCAGAAAAGTTAACATAGCCAAATATAACTCACTTCTAATCCAAAAATCCGAAATCGAAAATGCTTCAAAATCGGAAACTTTTTAAATCTAATTCGATATACAAAGGAAATGCTCATTGGTGCATTTTGGATTTTGGATTTTTGGATTAGGGATGCTCAACTGGTATGCATTCTGCAAATATTCTAAAATCTGAAAAAACTCAAAATCCAAAACACTTCTGGTCCCAAGCGTTTCAGATAAGGGACACTCAACCTGTATGAAGGGGGATTAGTCCTGCTCTGCCCTGCATAGCTGCACTTGATACACAAAACTGAGACCTGACTCTTCCCATCTGGACTGAGGGGCTGGAATAGAGCCACTAATAGAATATCAGGGAAACGTTTTAAGAAAAGGAAATTATTCTTAACAGTCAGAACTATGCCACGGTGGAATGAGTTGCCTTGACACTGGAGAGGTCCTTGACTGTAGAGGTGCTCTGTCTCACCCTGAAGAACTAGGAGGCACTGATACTGCAAGTGTCTGGGAGGCCTCTCGTCCCCATGCCACAGGCCAGTCTAAACTGTTGGCACTTCCATAAGCTGATGGAACAGTTTGCTTTCATTTTTCATCCTGGACCTTCCCCTCTCAGCTATTAAGAATGAAATGTAGAGTGTGTGCACGCGCACATGTGTGTGCACGTGCACACATATGTTTAGGAGAAGGAAAAATAAGAGGTGAGGGTGGAGCAGGCAAAAAGGAGCAAGGATCACAAAACTCCAGAAGACATAAAACAAGGGTAACCAAGAACCTACAGATGTTCTAAAAAATCACAGTAGCCTCCCATTGAAAATCTCAGTGGATCTATGCCAGACAGCCCCCGTGATCCTAGCCAGCCCTCATCATGCAGCCCTGGAGGACCTCTTGGCGACAGAATTTACTTGTTGCAGGGACAGAGATACCCCACTGTGTGTCTACCACTTGGCTCTATGGCTCCTACAGCAGAAGGAACATCTCTAAGGTTTACCCAACACCAGCCATCCCAGCTATCCTGAGGACCCAAACTAGCCCCATGGTGAACAGAGGAGAAGGCCATGGAGGGGCTACATTTTTTGACCACTGATTTATTGCAGTCCTGGAGTAAGTCACCAAAGCCAAGGAGGAGGAAGAGGGGCAGAGGGAGCATTCAATTTACTCCAGCCATGCCCCCAACCTCAGTTCTTCCCCTCCAATGATGAGCCTTGGGTGCCAAGAAAAAAATCTCAGACCCCAAATTTCCAATATGAACCCACTGGAAAGTGTAAGGTTAAAATCATTAATGGCCACCCTCTTCTGCCTTTTAACAGGAATACCTTTAAAATCGAAATTAACAACAGAGGAAGAGACCTCAGTGCTAACCAGGATACAGTCTGATTTGGAAGGTATAATTCATGATGGTTTTAAATAACCTGTAGAAGTTACTAATCCATCCACAAGAAGGTAAGAAGCACAGAATTAGCATGCCCCTGGCCAAGGAGAGCCCTCTTTTGACCGCTGTAGACTAGGGCAGCCTTAATAAAGTTCAACGGCCAAGGCATTATTTCTGGAATTTAGTGTCAAGGCTCAAGGCTCAGGTAAGACACTGAACCAAAGAGTGAAGTGCTCTGGCATTTTGAAAGGGAAGGAAACATTTACCACTGGGGTTGGGAGGGAAGATAATGGATTATCCATACTTAGTATATCCAGTAACATTTGCTGTATACCTACTGTATGCATGGCAGGATATAAAGATGGACAAAACCCATCTCACCCTCTCAGAACTTAAACTCTAGTGGGCAAGATGGAATATGGAAGGAGGGAGAGGAATCGACATTTGTTGAGCACTTGCTACAAGACCTCACAGTGCTGGAGATCAAGGAAACCTTGTATCCCCAAACACGTGATCTCCACCCTGAGTCTTCTCAGGTATTGAGGAGGTGATTTTTAAATTGATTTCATCAGAGATTAAAAGGTCCAACTACTTCACCATACTGCATCCTATTAATAATTCTTCCTATTCTTTTTCAGCGTATGTTCTCAGTGACACAAAGCAAGAGGAAGAAACCGGTGAGAGTTCAACATAATATATCCAACGATCGCTGCTTTCTGCAGTGTCCTGGGCTGGGGAGGTGCCCAGGGTGGTGGGGCCCTTGCTAGTCCAGCTTGCACCAAGTCCTAGGGGAGGCCTAGAGACATGGTAGGCACACAGCTCCAGAACCTCCTAAAGAAGGAGGATGAAACAAGAAACAGAGAGACAGTCTCAGAAGAAACAGGACCAGAAATCCATCTCCCTTCTCAAAAGCTCTAGTATAAGGACTCCCACATTTAAAAAGGGTCCAGTCAGATGCTGGGTTCCCTGAGGCCTGGGAAGCAGGGCTTGACTGGGATGCATGCCCCTCTCCTCACAGATAGACTCATCCAATCACACCTGGGTGGTGAGTAAATTGGAGCACCTACAAATGGTTCCCTTAAAGATTTATTAAACGTTTATTAGGAGGGAATCCTACGAGGGGGTAAAACAAAGGAGAATCCTTATAATGGCAGAATCCCAGCTCTCCACAGAACAAAAATCCTGCAATTAACCAGATCTGTTCTCATTAGAAAACAATCTAGGGACTACGGTCTGTTGTACTTAAGCATGTGGTGGGGGTGGGGGGAATCAGCCATACACACACACCCCATTCTACCCCCATCCCCCTGCAGCTTATCAAACAAACTCAGACTCTGGACTCTGCATCCCACCCACCCATCGCCCCTGCAGAAGGGTGCTGGTAAATACAGTTTTCTCCATCTTATCCCATTTCCCTGGGTGTTTTATTTTAATTTTTAATTTTTTTTAATTTTTTAAATTTTTTTGTCCTTTTTGAGACCGGCCGCACCGCACTCAGCCAGTGAGCACACCGGCCATCCCTATATAGGATCCGAACCCACAGCGGGAGCGCTGCTGCGCTCCCAGTGCCGCACTCTCCCGAGTGCGCCACGGGCTCGGCCCACCCTGGGTGTTTTAAAGCTGTGCAAACTTCAACGTGCAGTGCAGTCACTCAGGGATCTTGTTTAAATGCAGATTCTGATTCAGTAGGTCTGAGATTCTGCATTTCTAACAAAATCCCAGCAGCTGCCGCTGATTCATGGACCACCCTTTGAGGAGCCAGGTTTTAGAACAGCTTATGGATTTGTGCCCATAGCACAGCCCTTGGCCCACCTGCCTAGCATAACATGGATTCACTGTGTGAAGGGTAGAGAAGGTGAAAACAGGACTGAGTTTCATGTGGACTGAGTTTCATGTGAGCTCCTTAACCAGTGGAACTGGGTTGCTCCTTTCGTGTAGCTGGCCCCTGAGCTAGTCACTTACTGTTTCTCCCCCATCTTTCCTCATCTACTGTCAAAGAAAAACTTACTCAGTGATACTTGTTAAAGCGTGGTAAGGAAGACGTTATTCAGAACCATCGTGATAGGTATAGGGACCACTGCAACGGGGTCTTACAGCGGGGGAGAGAGATTGTGCTCAACTCTGAATACAGCATGGGCCAGTGTGAGTTTATAACCAAGGAGCAGCGTGGGGTCAGCAGATGGAAAATTACTAGGAGGAAACATCAGGGGTAAGGGGAGTTCTGGCTAAACTGACCTACCAGGATTATTGCAGAAGACAGGCCCGGTGATCAGACATCACCCGGGATGGTGGAGGGTGAGGAACCCCATTAAATACCCAGGGAGATCAGAGATTGGGGAGCAGGGGCAGTTTGGGCTAGATTGGCAGCAGGGTTCTTGCTAAAACTGGATTTTATAAGGAGGTGTATAGATGGGCCTAGAAGGCGGTCCAGGGAGATCAGAGATTGGGGAGCAGGGGCAGTTTGGGCTAGATTGACAGCAGGGTTCTTGCTAAAACTGGATTTTATAAGGAGGTGTATAGATGGGCCTAGAAGGCGGCTCAGGAGCCTGACTAAAATTTGGTCAAGCAAAAGATCTTTTCACTAAACATGGGGATTGTTGTATCTACCCCACAGGACAGATACACACGGCTCAAACATCTATTCCAAATTCAGAAACTGTGATTCTGTCTTTAAAAAGCTAGACGAGAGGCTCTTGGATGAGGATGAATTAAGATTTGTCCTTAATCAGACCAGAGGAAGACACACTCCACCTGGGAACAAACAATAGGTTATGTGGGTACAAGGGCCAGCTATCCTCGCTAAGGGAGGTGTGTCAGCCACTGACCTACATTAGCACTGGTCCTCTGAGCCACCCTGAGGAGGACTCTTACTGTCCCCATTGCACAGATGAGTGGACAAAGGGACTGAGGGACGTGTCGGAAGCAGACCAGACCCCGGCTAACAGGGCCACCACTGGAACCTGGCCTGACACTCCCCTGGCCCTCCCATCCTCACCTGGAGTGACCTCAGGAGGAGATAATGATCTCACTAGAACAGAGGCAGAGGTTGATGGAAGTCCCCAAAGGACAAGTTAATCAGAAACAGAGCTTCGCCATCTCATTTGGCTGCTCTTCACTGCACTTCACATGACAGGTCAACAGTGCCCGTTGATGTTAATACGCTTCATCATTACATTGAATCGAATGCTTCTCAGCGCCACTGTTCAGTTACTCAGGGCTGCCAAGTTCACCTTCTTCCCGTGATAAACACCCCCCCCACCCCCACCAAGTTAATTGCGTATTATGCAGTGAAGCCTATTAAAATGCAGCAATCACAGGTGACAGGGATGTGCTGAGCTCTCAGGGGCCAGGCAGACACTCTGCACCTGGGCAGGCACTGTGGGACGCAGCCCGTCTCTCCTCCTCTACAGACCTTTTCTAGCAAGTCATTCATTCCTCCTCTCAGTGCCACCCTCAAGGAGCTTCCCGAGTGCTTGCTTGAATTCCCATGGATTCCTGTTGGGTTTTCCTAAATGGCTTTTCAAAACTTCCCTGGTCATTGCTATGGCAGACTATATGGGAACACGCAGTGTTCCTGGAGACAAGCTTACCTTTGCCATGTTGAGTACCCCAGGGGGGTGGTGTGTGTGCCCCTGTGGGAAGTGACCAGGGGGAAAAAATTGCAGGAATTCCCGTAGCCTGGGATCCACCTCTGTCACGGCAAGCTTCTGTCACGCACAAACCGAGACTGCAGTCAGAGGTTTGCAGGCAGAAAAGGCCCTGAGCTTTGGGTCAGTAAAGGTAGTTTCAGCTCAGTGGAATTCTCCATCCCGTCAGGAGCCCAAAGGAGTCCAGGTTTTCATTACAGAGCTGAAATTAGGAAGGAATACAAAAGTACAATGTATGGAGATCACAAAAAAAAGTCCCCTCTCCACCCCTAAAGGCATAATGTGGACAAAATCAAACAAAGTCAGTCAGCCCTGTGATAACCTGGTGGATTTTCAAGGCTCTCTGGATGGCCCAGCTTGAAGGGGCTGGTGCCATCCTGAAGCTGAGACAGCAGGCCACCGTGATGTCCCTGGGGACCCAATTATCGTGTGAGAGCCACTTCCTCTGAACTCCTGCCTCAGAATCCACACCTCCCCAGAGCAGAGAAGAGAGGCCCAAGCTGTAATCATCAATTCCACAGTTCAATTAGCACCCCATCATACTGGAGGCTTTAAGCCCCTCTGCCGGCCAGGGGAGTCACAGGCAGGCAGGCAGGCCGCTGCTGACCTTTAGGAACAAAGACACTCACTGTCTCTGGTACTTTCTTTAACTCAGTGGCCTGGGGATTCATCTCTTATGCTTTGATTAGCAATTATGAACCATATACAATTCTGGAAATTGGTAATTTTTGACAACACTGGTGGGAGATAGATATATTTGGGGGGATTTCTGAGACAAAATTGCACTCAGAATAAATCTCCCTCCTAAGAAAATCTAAAGTCCTTCCCATAGTTTACAAGGTCCCCTCCCCCCTCCACCACCACCCCCTCACACTCCTCTCTGGTCTCCCCACCTCGTTTACACTCCCTCTGCTGCAGGCATACTGTGCCCCTTGGAGTCTGTCAAATATGTCAGACCCCACCCTCCCTGACCTCAGTGCCTTTGCACCTCCTAGTCCCCTGCCAGGAATGCTGTTCCCCAGCTATTGCCTGATCACTCCCTCACTGCATTCAACACTCACCCACATGTCACTTTGTCAGACTGACCTTCGCCAGCCACCAGGAACACACACCCCCTTTCTTAAGTCAGCCACCTTATTCCTGTTTTATTAGTACCCCAAGGTGAATTTTAGGTAATCTGATGAATTTGTTTAAAGTCTCATTGATGATGTGTGCATTTTTTTAGTGGGCAAGAGCCATAAATCTGCTTCTTTTTTTAAATTAATTTTTTGTTGTTTCCTTTTCAAATGCCCTTCCTTTTGATGCACCTTCCAAAACTGAAAGACATGGATTTTGTTTCTGAAGGGAACTTTTGGCCTGATGTGACAGAGGAGCCCATTCAGATGCTGGAAGACAACGACTTTGATGAGCAAGTAAGTCAAAGTAGAGTCTGAATGAGCTTTTCATTAAAACAGACATTACATTATGTGGTGCAGTTAAATCAAAAAGGGTCAGAAGTAAGCCAAAAGTGGCATTCCAAGCCCCTACTTTCAGAGTGCCCTACTTATAATATGAACAAGTACCCCCAAGATTGCTTTTGAAGACAGCAAAGCAAAAAATAAAACACAATATTATCTAGGTGTCAAGACAAATCATGCTTTGCAGAAATCCTATGTAAAAATAAGCTTAGATTCTGGAAAGATGGAGTAAATGTATTTTCCTTATCCTTCCCACTAAGTATAACTTAAAACCCCAGACATGATATAACAAATCATGCTTTGCAGAAATCCTATGTAAAAATAAGCTTAGATTCTGGAAAGATAGAGTAAATGTATTTTCCTTATCCTTCCCACTAAGTATAACTTAAAACCCCAGACATGATATATGAGCACTCATAGGAAGACTGAAAGGTGGAGAAAAGAAGGCAGGCCGTCTGGGACCTCAGAATCCAAGGAGTGACGTGGCAGTGATTTCCCTGGGTGTTTTGTTTTGTTTCGCCTCATATATCCCAGAGTGGATGCTGGAGACAGCAATCCAGAAATGTCAACAAGCACAGGCAAAGCCCCGAGAAGAGCCAGCTCTCTCTATATGGGGCAACCTCACAAGACAGAGAGCTTTAGGCAATAACCTGCCTCATATATCCCAGAGTGGATGCTGGAGACAGCAATCCAGAAATGTCAACAAGCACAGGCAAAGCCCCAAGAAGAGCCAGCTCTCTCTATATGGGGCAACCTCACAAGACAGAGAGCTTTAGGCAATAACCCCTCTTTGTTATGACTTTATAAATATGCCACATGAATGGTTTGCCTGTTGGGGCAGCCTGGTGGCTCTAATTTCCTGTGTCAACTTACCTCTAAGACTTACAACCAGTGTTAATTTAGGTGAAAGCATTGTTACCCATCCTCTCCTCTACTGCTAAGAAACCTCCTCACAATCATAGGGCCTAACTACAATCATAAGAGTGAAACGTTGTGTCCCTAGAACCCAAAATTAAGTAGACATATTTTTCTAAACTTACAAAAGAAAAGGCAAAAACTAGATATTTGGGAGGTTTTTTTTTTAATTTAATTGGGAAATTTTGGGGTCTCAATTCATATTTAGTCCTAAACTCCTTACTTTCCATCTTGCTTCTACATTGTATCAATAAGATTTGCTTTTCAAATACTGAAATATTACATTAAAGGGAAAAAAAATAGATAACTTGAACTTAGATTTATCACACTGGATTTACTAAGATGGGAAAGTAAACCCAAGCATTTTAGAAATATTTTTCAACTAGAGTTGAAACCTACAGGAATTGTCTTAATTAAATATTTAAATTATTCAGAAACCTTCGGGACTCCTGTTCGTAGAGATTTCGCTGTGTCAGGTGGCACTGCATTCACTGGCGACACATCCACTGTGTAGCTGCGTGAGGTTCTGAAAGAACATGGCACTTCTGGGAGCATTCCAGGACATTCCAGAGAGTTCTAAAGTGTTCCACAAGACAAGCAGGCTGAGCAGGAGAGCTCCCCTCACAAGCACTTTGCCGTCCCAGGGCTTTGCTAAAGGATTTTAGGCAGTGGTGTGATACAATCAGATTTGTTTTATTTTTTGTTAGGTATTTTGATTCAAATTAACTTTTGCATCGTAGAGCTAACATGTACACATGATTTCAAAATACTGAAATACTAACGGAGGCTGTAAAATAAATATTTCAAGTCTTCACCTCCTTACCTCCCAGAAATAACTACTGTATACTGCTTCTTATGTATCCTTCTGGAAATTTTAATGCATATATAAACATACACGTCTTTTAAAACAAATGCAGATCCACAAATGGGATTGTAATATACATTCTGTTCTGTAACTTGCGTTTTCCTTAATAACATTTTGGGACTCTTTGGTATTCCATTACATCTTATCCCATAATTTAACTAGCACCCTATCAATGGATGTTTGTTTCTAGTTCTTTTTTTGTGTGTATAAAATTTTATATATTTGTATATTTATGTATATATATTGCAATGAACTACACCTTTGTTATTACCTACAAATGCAAGTGTATCTAAAGAATAAATTCCTAGCAGTCGAATGCTGGGTCCAAAGGTATCTGCATCTTTAACTGAAAAGGTATTGACCAACTTACCCCAAAATAAGTTGCCATTTTCCTGTTGCCATCAAGAGAGCATAGAGAATGCCTCCCCATCACTTCCTCACCCACCAAGGATCATAATTCTGGCCCATCCGATAGGGAGGGCAGAAATAATATCTCACTGTCGTCTTTTGCATCTCCTTCATTATGAAAGGTATTGGGCAATTTTCACATTTGTTGGTTTGTGTGTCTTTCTGTGACCGGCCAGTTTGTGTCCTTTGTCCACTCTTGCATTACATTGCTTACTTCTTTTTCCTTCTGATTTGTAAGGGCTTTTTATGTATTAAAGAACTCAGTCCTTTTTCTGACATGCATGTTGTAAATTTTTTTCCAGTTTTTGCGTGTATTCCAACCTTCTTGGTATTTTCCATGACATGGTCATTTTTAATATTTAGGTAGTTTCATTTATCAACATTTTCCCTTATGACTACTGAATATTGTTTCACTTTTAGAAAGGTCTTTCCACTCTCAGAAAAAAATTGGATAATTTATTCATGTTTTCTTCTAAGTCTCTAAGGGATCTTTTAAAAAATATAATCTGGAATTTATTGGGGGACAATAACATGGCATAAGGGATCTAGCCATAGTCCCCAACAATATTGATTGAGTTCTTTCGCCACTAACAGAATCAAATCTGCATTTTTAAAGGTCACTTTGGTGGCTTTGCGGATGACAGATTGAAGTGGGGAAGATTGCAGGAAGGAAGTTGTGTAACACTACACTAGAAGTACGAATGGACACATGATAAAAGTCTGGTTACTTAGGGCAGTGCTCAGTGCCACTGCCATGACATGGCACATATTTCTACTCTATAGTCTGGGGAGCTGAAGAGGAGAAGAGAAGAAGGGTACATTTGTAGGAAGGTAAGAAGTTTAGTTGGGGACACATTGAGTTTTAAGTACATGTAAGACACCCAGATGAAGTCCAGTTGAAAACTTGAAATAAGCAATCTAAGTCCCAGGAGAAAATTCTTGGCTGAGGATTTTAATTTGGAATCTGTATTAGTTCACTAAGGCTGCTGAAATAAAGTGCCACCAACTGAGTGGCTTAAACAACAGGAATTTATTGTCTCATGGTTCTGGAGGCAAAAAGTCTGAAGTCAAGGTGTTGGTGGGATTGGTTCCTTCCGAGCGCTGTGAGGGAGGGATCTGGTCCAGGTCTCTCTCCTTGGCTTGTAGAGGGCTGTCTTCTCCCTGTGTCTATTCACGTCATCTCCTTTCTATGCATGTCTCTGCATCCAAATTTCCCCTTTTTATAAGGACACCAGTCATATTGGATTAGGCCCACCTAAATGACCTCATTTCAACTTGATCACCTCTGCAAAGAACCTATCTCCAAACAAGGTCACTGTCTAAAATACTAAAGATTAGAGCTTCGATGTGTGGATTTGAGGGGAACACAATTTAACCCATAATAGAATCCTTATCATATGTTTAAGCCTTGGAAATGCAGGGGATTATAGGACGTTTTTGTCTAACTACTGCAGTTAGATAATACCCCCTTCCTCATAAAACACATAAAGCTTGCCAAACACATAAAAGCACAAGTGTTACTTGGTTTCATGTGTGAGCCTAGGAGCTTTTGGTTTGCAGTTAGTGAGGAGAAAGGTTTTTTTTTTTTTCCTTTTTTTTTTTTTACTGACCGGCAACGGGATCGCAACCCTCGGTGTTGCGACCGCACCGCGCTCAGCCAGTGAGCAGGAACCGGTCTCCACATGGGATCCAAACCCTCGGCGGAAGCGCCGCCACGCTCCCAAGCGGCACACTCTCCAGTGCGCCACCAGGCCGGCCCATGGGAGAAAGGTTTTTGGTGGGTGAGGGGGGATCCAGAAAAAAATGGTGGGAGGGGATGGTACCATGTCTTAATTCTGATCTAAATGCCATTGATGGGAATTGAGCCCCTAAGGTTAGGGTGACAAGGTCAGTCATTTATGAAAACTAATTATGACACACATCATGAAATTCTGGACACAAGCAGAGCTGCTGTAGGGTCCAGGTGACAAAGTGTGGCACAGATTTGGAGGGTCCTTTCCCCTGATGTCTATACCACTCTGTCCCCCAATGATTGGACGCTCGGTACACTGAGGCAGCAGCTATGGCACAGACACTGGCATGCTCATAAAATGTAGCAACACAGCTTGGCAAAGCAGCACTTCTCCAAGCAACCTGATAGGTGACAGATGTGGACAAGCAGGGCCAGAGCCAGAGAAGAATAACAGAGTGAATGCCACATGGGACCTGCAGCTGCAGTACTTGTCTGTGTTAACTCCTCAGGCACCTTTTGAAGGAGGACCAGAAACTCCCAGGGTACAACCTAGGGAGCGGAAGCTAAAGCCCTCCTCTTTGGATGGGGACTATCAACCTACACTTTGGTTATTCTGACAACTCAACTCTTTTGCTATTTTTAGTTCACTATCACACGCTCGTTTTTATTTCTATGACATACTCCTGCATCCCAAATCTTGACATGCAAATTATTTTGTTGCAAGAACCAGAGATTTACCCAAGAAGGGTCTCTGGGCATGGGAGACCTCATCCCTGAGGTGCCCAATACACCTACCATGACAATAAGGATAATCATACTCTATACGTGGGGCAAGCAAATGGGACAAATCCCGTAAGATGTCACATGTGCTGGGTAAATGGAATGGGGTGGCACAGCCTAGATAGGATGAGAACCTCTACTGGACCCCCCCAGTTGGGTCTGCTGTCTGGTAGACTCCAATGGACACGGTATTTTCTGGTGAACAGAACATAGAATGCAGTGGGGATGGTGACAGGTCACTGGCCTAGGCAAATAGGAAGTCATTCCATCCCAAGGGAAGGATTGCCAACAGTGAGGAATTTACTGGCAGCAAGGCCCTTAACCTTGACCTGTGCTGAAGCACTAATTCAGGCAATAGGGAGAGGTGGGGTTCAGAGTTTAGAACTGAGACCAGCCAGACCTAAGGCACCCCAGCATTCTCCCAACCTAGAAACACCAGCCAATCATAAGCCATATTCTTGTATCTGTGCCAGGTCACATGCAGCTTTAGAAGTGTTGGTCTTTCACTTATTACAGGAGGCTAATGAGTTAATGGGGTAGTATCTATTATCACATATTGAACAATAACACCTCAACCTGTAGGTAAACAGGGACAAGGCAATGTGACTGATCCCTAGCTTTCCTCTCTAGGAAGCCAACTCTCAGCTTCTATCAAAAGGGATCCAAAAAAGAAGCTCTTGTGAGGAGCCATCTAGGGGTCAGTCCTGGTGAACAGCACAGACCTGGGATAGAACAATCAAATTTACAAAATAAAAGGGCAGCTTCTCACATTACTTTGGAAGAATCTTTGAACACAGAGCTGCTCAGCACAGTGAGGTGCTAGATGCTGTATCGCTTCCCCGAAGACCCCTTCCTCTCATTGAATAAACGAACCACACTCGGAGCTTGGCCACTTGTGGGTCACAGAAAGCCTGCTTTGCTCTTAAAGCGTGGAAGCAGTTTCATGTTCTATAGCCATCTCCGTGTTTGGAAAAAGAGGCTAATTTTATGTTCTTAAAAGATTTCTTGGCAAACTGATGTAAAAAAAAAAACTCTTGAGGGAATTGGGGAGCAAAAAGTAGGTACAATGGTAAAGGAAATACTCTTTCAAAGAATTCATGCCCCCCACCCTACTTTTCCATTTGTGCTTTTTGAATAAGATGTTGAAATGCCACCTGGTACCTTTGAGAGTCAGAGAAACGATTAACTAATAAATCACTAATTCTCATTTTCTGGATATTTTATTCTGTGGTCCTCTTGTAGTTTTTCAACAGCTCCTACCAGGCAGTGTTTAGGAAGATAATCAAAGAAATGGCTGCTCGCAATGAACTGGAAGAGGATTTTGACATTCCCCTGGCTGAGCTGCTGGAAAGTGAAAACAGAAGGAAACTGGGAATTCTGTAAGTGTCTGGAGAGATCAAGCTATTGGTTAGTGGGCTTGGGAAGGCCAGAGGTAGCAGCAGGGAGAGGTAAATTGGGCCACCAGGGAAAAGAGCAAAACCAGGGCCAGGCAGGCCCTCGGAGTCAGGAAGCAAGTCCAGGCCAGGCACAAGGGCAAAGGTAAGGTCCGGATCAGGTGGACAGAATGCTCCGGCTGCCAGACCAAGATCAAAACTCAAGAGCAAGGAAATCCTTTTTTTTTTTTTTTTTTTTTTTAAGAGCTCCTCATTTCTTTTTATTAGATACATAGATCTTGAGTGTGTGCTGAAAGCTGGCTTTACTGCCATGGCTTTAGATATGGACTTCTCAAGCCCAGAACCCTAATATATGTTTTTTTCTTATTTTGAATCTTATATTTATAATAACATAAGACAGTTCTCCTGAATCCTAGGCCAATGTTATCAATTCATTGAAAGCATCATTTTGGGGTTTTTTGTTTGTTTGTTTGTTTGTTTTAATTTTATTTTACTTCTCAATATACATTGTAGTTGATTTTCACGCCCCTTTATCCGTTCCGCTCCACCCCCTCTCCCCGCCCACATCATATTTATTCACTTGACTTAAAAAGTTCAAGGAATTTTTGTGATTGTTGTAATCTTCCCCCCCACACACACACCCTTTATTTGTTTGTGTGTTTGTTTGTTTGTTTGTTTGTTTGTTTGTTTGTTTATAGCTCCCACAAATAAGTGAGAACATGTGGTATTTCTCGTTCTGTGCCTGACTTGGTTCACTTAATATAACTTTCTCTAAGTCCACCCATGTTGTTGCATGGCAGTATTTCATTCTTTTTTATAACAGAGTAGTACTTCACTGTGCAGATATAACACAGTTTCCTTATCCACTCATCTGATGATGGACATTTGGGCTGGTTCCAACTCATGGCTTATTGTAAATAGAGCTGCAATAAACCCTGGAGTACAGTTATCCCTTCAACATGGTGATTTCCATTCCTCTGGGTATATTCCCAACAGTGGAATAGCTGGGTCATATGGCAGATCTATCTGTAATTGTTTGAGGAATCTTCATACCATTTTCCATAAAGGCTGCACCATTTTGCAGTCCCACCAACAGTGTATGAGAGTTCCCTTTTCTCCGCAACCTCTCCAGCACTTATAATTCTCAGTCTTTTGGATTTTTGCCATCCTAACTGGAGCGAGATGGTATCTCAAAGTGGTCTTGATTTGCATTTCCCAGATGCTGCATGAAGTTGAGCATTTTTTTCATGTGTCTGTTGGCCATTTGTATACCTTCCTTTGAGAAATGCCTTTTCAGCTCCTTTGCCCATTTTTTAATTGGGTTATTTGGGTTTTTTTGCTGTAAAGTTGTTTGAGTTCCTTGTATATTCTGGATATTAATCCTTTGTCAGATGTATATTTTGCAAATATTTTCTCCCACTCTGTTGGTTGTAAGAGCAAGGAAATCCTAAGCATTCTAAGTATCCATCCTAAGCATGGATAGGATCAAAGGCTGGCAGTGGTAGAAGTTGGAAATACAGGGCAAGAAAAGACTTGGAGGGACTATGAACTTGTACAGAAGTCTGGGGAGCAAGGCTCAGACCCCTGGGCCTCTAAGAGAGGAGGAAATGTGGCATCCAGACCCTGGTCATCTGCCCAGTGATTTCCCTAGCTTCATCCCAGGCTGCCTAATGTTTTCCCATGCTTCCTGGAGGAGGAGAGCCCTGAGCTTCACTGACCTGGGGGTCAAGGCCAAGGCCCCTATCTGGAGGGGTGAATGCTAAGGTTATTGCACACCTTTTGTTGGCACCAGGTCTTTCTAGCTGACAAGGCTCCAGGTCATAAAATGCTCCAGAACCCATTTGTACATCTAGCCTGTGGTGCAGGACATGCTCTCAGCTTGGAAGTCTGGGTTTTCCTTACATGTTGCTAGAAACCTGAGAGAGCAAGATGTGGGTCAGTCCCCTGTGGTCTGTTGCAGACTCCCAGCAGTGGCACCAGGAACAGGCTGTAGGGGACGGGGTGCCCTACCTCATTGCTCCGGAGAGTTCAGGCATTCACAAAAGTCAGGAGGAGATCGACTGCCAGCAACTCCTGCTGTAGGCTCAGTAGAGTTGTGGGGCAAGAGGTCCCTGAGGATTCTCTAGGAATGGGGAACGCAAAACACACAGAGCAAAACACAAAGAACTCCCAAGCTTTCGGATCAGCAAAAACAAACAGCAAATGCCATCTCGCCTTTCTTCCTGTTTAAGCCTGTAACGGAGGATCGTTCTCACCTGACTGCCCTCAACACATATTTCCTGAGAACCTACTGTGTGCTGATCTAAGCTCTAGGGATGCAGTAGTGTGTACCCCAGAGTCTGCTGTTGAGGTGCTGTCTGGTGGGGATTCCACTTGCTTGCAAAGGTGGGCAAAAAGCCAAGGAAGCAACACCCAGCCCTTCCCAAAAGGGCACTGAATGCCTCTGGCTGGATCCCCTTACCAGAGTCTAACTCTTGTCTGCATTTGACATCCTGTTCTCAGTGAAGGACAGGCCTCCGCCCCACCCCACTCCTTGGTCCTTATTTTTTCACCAGTGCCAGTAGGCTAAGTAACCGGTTCCATTGAAAGTGCTTGCAAATAAAATGAATAGTGTTTGGTACAAATGGGCTACAAGGATCTCTTTCTCAAGTTCCCCTATTGCTTCTCTGCAAATAGTGAATCCTCACTCTCTGCTAGGTTTGCACCTAGCACCTAGCATCTAGCACAGCCCTTCCTAGCAAAGGATGTTTGCTTCCTGGGGTTGCTTGGGGTTAAATTATTATGCTCTCTTCGAGAATCTGAACCAAGAACTTGAAACCTGTCAAGTCACTAGCTGGGTCACTCAGTGGTTAGAGAGTGGTACTGATAACACCAAGGTCCAGAGTTCCATCCCTGTACCAGCCAGCAAAACAAAAACAAAACAAAAAAACCTGTTGTGTCAAAGTCCTCCTTCTCAGATCCAATTAAGCCTGGGAATCTCACCCTTTCTAGCACATCCCCTTTCAAAGGGGCATGAGCTGAGAACCAGGAAACATAGCTGCCCTGGAAAGCACCCTTACTGTGAAGTGAAACAGTTGAAGCCATTGAAATGCCAGGCCAACTCTCATTGTATCTTCACATGAGGGTGGTAAAGGGCTTGATCATTTTGAAAGTCGGTGCCTTGCGTGTCTTTCACGATAAGTTATTGTGAGTGAGCCTATTTGAACTTTTCCTATTAAAGGCAAAGGAGTTTCCAGTACACTGTCCAGTTCACAGACAATGCTGTTTTTCCAAGCTGTTTCCTGATGCAGCCCTCACTAGGACAGGGACAAGCACAGAAAATCAAGCTGCACGAGTTTAGCTCAGAGAGTCACACTTGCCTAGGGGACCTCTTGGACCTTCCTGTCCTGTTCCTGATCCCCAAGATGACCCTAATTGCTTTCATTTGGAAGGGCTTAGGGGCCAGCCCATGTGCCTTGGTTGACAGCTGGAGACCAGGAGGGAAGCAGGGAGTCAATACCATATGTCATGCCTTTATTCCTGAGCGTTAACTGGAGGGTCAGAAAGCAGAGCGTGGTCCCAGCTTTCCACCTGTGTGAACAGCTCAGCCAGCTCTAGCACTGCCTGACTCTGGATCATGACACGTAAGCATGAATTTAGGCTTGGCTTTTAAAGACGATTCACCTTCCTTTTAGGTTGAAGAAAAACTTTGAGACATATAAGAAAGCAATCCTGTGGATTTTGAAGCGGCGACGTGAAGGTCAGTGGTGCTCTTCTCTTCCCTGTGACTGGCTCTCCTGTCCGCCACTCACAGCCTCGCCCCTTCTGCTGTGTGCATAAAGGAGGCGGGACTCCCTGGTGCACCTGCTGGGCAGGGAGATCCTAGCTGCAGGGGATGAAACACTGAGTGGGACAGACACAGTCTAGGACCTCATGGGCTTGTCCCTTCGTGTGCGTGGAGAAGGGGGGAGGATAGATAAAAAGGTAGGGAATTACCATATAGAAGGTTAAGTCCTACGATGGGAAGGGGATGCCATGAGACTACAGAGAAGGGGATCTAGCCCAGATTTGGGGAAGGAGGGATCCAAGAAGGCAATATTAATGCAAAATTTGGGAAGCCCTTTTGCCAGGAGACTGAAGACATTTGGTGTCCAGCTGTTAAGATTTGCCAGTCATGCAGGTTACCAGTTTTTTCAATCTAATCATGGAAAGCTTGAGTCAAGGGGCTAAGCTATTGGGCTACTTAATTCAGAAACTCAAAACCACTATATGGAATATCTTTCAGATGACGAGATCCAACTAATGTGAAATGACAGCACCCGTGGGAGACATAGCTAATCAATCATGGTACTTTGAGCCAGATCACAGCCCCAGATTCCCTCTCAAGAGTGCACTCTCCCCCCCCCCCCCCCCCTCCATACCAATTTACATCCCTGACCTAACTGTTAAGGAATAATTGCTGTGGGCTAGATACTTTCACGTACACTATCTGATTCGAACGGATCTTCCTAACCACGTGAAGTAGGATAAAGAAACTAAGGCTAAGAGAGGCTGAGTGACCGGCGTAGATAACCCAGCAATTAAATGGAAAAGCCATGCTATGCCCAAGACCTCTCAGGGCAAGTGCGGGGCTCATGCCCTTGGCACGCTCAGTGAACAACAAAAGGCCAGTGTGTCTGGAGAAGAAAACGTGGGGGGCCATCTAAGCCTGGGCCTCATGTCCTCATTGGAGTTACGGGCAGGGAGAAAGAGGAATTCCCACCTGTAGTTACCAAGGTGGGAGGGCCCTGCCGCCCACTAAGACTCACACAATGGGGTACCCCCAAAACAAGAAGGGGGTTTCAGATTCTCAGCAGCCAAAAACACAACAACAAATATCTATTACTCTAATTGTGTCATACCTGGATAGTTTCTGTTCCTCCTTAGCCGTAGCCACCTGTGTCATTCCTCAGCACCTTATCAAGGCATACAGTAGGCACTCAGTAAGTGTTTCTTGAATGGATGCATGCATGCATGATCTTTTGCTCCTTTGGGGGGAATATAGTCCCTGCAGGACACTCCACTGTCATATGCTGAGGGTAGGACATGAAATTTGATATAATACGAATGGCCGGATTCCTCTGAACGCCTTCCCCCCCCCCACACCCCTTTCCAATCCCTGCTTCTTTGGACAACTGAAGCCTAGAAAGTTTGAGCTTTTTATACAAAAATCAACATTTCTAATTGATAAGAGGCATCTCCTCCATGTTCCTGCTGTGGCCACTGCCAAAGGAATCTTCTAGCCACCTCTGAGATGCAAACTCATTTACTTCCAGTATCCAACCCATTCTTCCATATTCCAGATACACAACCCCATGTCTCTGAACACTCCAATTTCCAAACCAAGGCTAACTTCATGGGCATGTGACCTGTGAAGTCACACAGGGCTCCTCATTTGGAAGAGCCCTGTGCTTGGTTTAAAACTGCTGTCACTGTCTTGAAATTCTTATTAATTTTAGAACAAGGGTCCCTGAATTTTTATTTTGCACCGGGCCTCTCGAATTATAGAGCCCTTCCTGTTCAGAACCATTGATCTGGTGAAAAGAAGCAGGAGAACGTTGCACAGCTTGTATCATGAACCTTCAAAATACAAAGCTCTTTTTTGAAGACACAGAAATATTGACCTCCTACTATGTAGCAGGCACGACACATGCATTATTTCACAGTAACTCCACAGGTAACTATAGGCAGCATTATCCCATTTTAAGGAATCTCAGGCTCAGACACCTTCATCTCTCCCCCGAAATTCTAGACTTCCTCACTCCCATCTTTTTGTCTCTTTTTGTTTCCAGCACAATCTTCTAAAAGCTCATCCCTGGCCTTCCACTGCCTTCAAGAAAATGTCCACATTCCTCATACAGCTTACAAGGCTCTCGATTTTTCCTTTCCAGACATGCTGGCTTTTTTGTCATTCATCAAATGGGCCAAGCGTCTCTTGCCACAGGGCTTGTACCTACTGCTCCTTCTGCCTAGAACTCTCTCGGCTCCAGCATCCCTGTGGCTCGCTCCCTCACTTCATTCTGGGATGTTAAACGTCACCTTCTCGCAAATACTTTTCTTGGCTACCCTTTATGAGCCAGTGCTCACACACACACGTGCACACACATATCTCTTTCCATCCTCCCTGCCCTGCTTAATTTTTTTTTCAGAGCACACATAGCCATCTGGCATGTTATATTTTTATCTATTCACTTGTTTAGCATCTGTCTCCCCTGAGACAGCAGGGACTATAGCATCCGTGATACCTAAGACAGTCGCCAACACAGAGGCACACAATAGATGGTTATTGAGTGAGCGAATGAGCATGAACGAGTGATCTAGCCCTGCTCGCCTGTCCTGAATCATCTGCCCCCCCTGGCCGGCTCCCACTCGAGCCTTCCCCACACAGGACCTATGCCAGGACTCCCACTGGCGTGCACAGGCTCGCCTCCCACCAGAAGTCTCCTCGGCTTCAAAGCCTGGCCAAGTTCCCTCCCATGAGCACTCATGGCACCCTTGGTTGGCCCCAGCGGTGGGATGTCCAGGGCGGTCAGTTAAGTCAGCCTAACCGAGTTGGTGAGCAAGCCAGGGGCCCCGTGTTCCCACCGAGAGCACCCCGGCTGGTCCCACAGCTGGAAGCTCCTCTCCATGGCTCCTCAGCTGCCGCTGCTGTGTTCGACCCTTACCAAGAGGCACTGGGAGCAGCGGTTGTCCCTCAGTGGTCCTCACTCGTTTAGTTCCAAAACTCAATTGTTACAAAAATGGACAAAAATGAATATAAAAAGAAATCTGTTGCTATGAACACTAGGTTGAATGCTTTTAAAAAATTCAATAAGAAAATGGTTTTAAAAAAAAAACTGCTTTGAATTAGATGTGGACCAAACATGCCCAAAAGATTGGGAAATGTATAGACATTTTTTTTAACTCTATGATTCTGTACTCAGACTATTTAGAAACTGCCAAAACTGAAGATGATCAATAATAAATGATGGGTGTGGTTTGAGCAAAAATGATCACAGAGCCCCTATCATCCCTTCCGCACTCGAAGGAAAGACCTTGCCCCATATTTTAAATGACATGTTAATATACGTTTCTGATTTAAGGTAAAATAACACGTTTAAGGTACGTTTCCTCTTTTAACGACTCCTCACGTTAGCCTATTTTTTCAGTTAGTAGCCACATTTTCTGCTGGGTGAGGAGTACTCCCCACCCATGACACTGTGGTCGCCATATTGCTGTGTCACCCCCACCCCCACCTCTGCACTGGGTGGTCGTCACCATTGTACCCAGCACCTAGCGCTGGGCTGGCACGCATTAGGGCCTTGATAAATGTGTGTTGAATGAATGAATGAAAAAACAGAAAGAGCTGGAATTTCAACCCCTACGTTTCAAAGGCCTTGCTCTGCCGACTGCCTGGCAGCTTTCCTTGCTTGGAGGTCAATGGCTGATCCCTCAAACTCCTTTCGACACCTTGAGAGATACAGAATCATGTTTTCTTTCTCTTTTCCACCAAAAGCAGGTCAAAAGTTGACAGAGTTGTCCACTCTTACATTTCATTTATTTACTCAACCACCACAATTTGAGGAGCCTGAGAAAGAAAGAATCAAAAAACGTCGTGTTGTTCGTCCTAAAAAGAAGTTACAACTAGATACAGAATGGATAATGGTAAAGACAAAGGTAAGTGTGGCAGTGCAGTGGTGTTTTGTGTGTGTGTCAGGCATACACACACCCTCAGAAAGCTGTCAGGACCAATACACAACGTGAACACACACAAGAAAAATGTATCCAGTACAGAGAGGTACAGCTGAGTGTGTGGGTTATTGGCAAACTGACTAGGATTTTTACTAGGATTCATTGAGATTCTTCTGCCTGTATCAGGCAATTGGATAGGGGTGGAATGGAATAAAGGAAATATATAATATATAGGTCCCTCCCCAATAAGTTAAAATCCATATCAAAATAAATCACACAGTGAATGGATAAACTGCAGTACAGCCATATAATGGAATATTATTCAGCACTAAAAAGAAATGAGCTATCAAGCCATGAAAAGACATGGAGGAATCTTAGACACCCATGACCAAGTGAAAGAAGCCAATCTGGAAAGGCTACGTATGGTATGATCCCAACTGCATGATGTTCTGGAAAAGGCAAAACTTACAGAGACAATAAAAAGATCAGGGGTTGCCAGGAGTTGGAGGGAAGAAGGGATGAAGAGGCAGAGCACAGAGGATTTTTAGGGCAGTAAAACTGTTCATACTATAGTGTTTACATGTCATTAAACACTTGTCCATACAACACCAGGAGTGAACCCTCATGCAAACTGTGGACTTCGGGTGATAACGATGTACCCATGTGGACTCATTAATTGCAACAAATGCACCACTCCGGTGAGGGATGTTGATAGTGGGGAAGGCTATGCATGTGGGGGTGGGTCAGGGGGAATATGGGAATCTCTGTACTTTCCACCCAATTTTGCTGTGATCTGCTCTAAAAAACCAATGACATGGTATATGAGGAGACTTCAAAAAAGTTTAGGGAAAAATGGAATTAAAAGATAAAAAATTTTAAATACAAACTTATTTCTCAACATAAGCTCCATCAAGTTTAAGACAACTTTACAAGTGATGATACTAGCCACTTGCTCCATCCCTAAAGAACTGAGGGTCCTGGGAATTTAACCAAGTCAATACAGTTTTTTTTTACATTATTAACTGAGAAAAATTAGTGCCCCTTAAAAAATTTTTAAGATTAGCAAACAGAAAGAAGTCAGAAGGAGCCAAATCAGGATTTTAAGGTGGATGCCTAATGGTGTCCCATCAAAACTTCCACAAAATTGCCCTTGTTTGATGAGGAGAATGAGCAGGAACACTGTCGTGGTGGAGAAGGGCTCCCTAGCAAAGCTTTCCGGGGCATTTTTCTGCTAAAGTGTTGGCTCACTTTCTCAAAACACTCTCATCATAAACACATATTATTATTCTTTGGTCAACAATTAAAATGCCCTGAGCATCCCCCCAAAATCGGTGCCATGGCCTTTGCTCGTGACCATCTGCTTTTGCTTTGACTGGACCACTTCCACCTCTTGGTGGCCGTGGCTTTGATTGTGCTCTGTCTTCAGGATCATACTGGTAAAGCCATGTTTCATTTCCTGTTACAGTTCTTCTAAGAAATGCTTCAGGATCTTGATCCCGCTTGTTTAAAATTTCCCTCTAAAGCGTTTCTCCTGTCTGCAGCTGATCTGGGTGCAACAGTTTTGACACCCTTCAAGTGGAGAGTTTGCTCAACTATAACTTTCATCAGAATTCTGTAAGCTGAACCAATAGAGATGTCTATGGTGTTGGCTACTGTTTCTGCTGTGTATCATCAGCCCTCATCAATTAGAGCACAAACAAGATCAATTTTTTCTTCACAAATTGATGTGGGTGATCTGCTGCTGTGGACTTCATCTTCCGTATTGTCTCATTCCTTCTTAAAACGAGTTATCCGCTTGTAAACTGCTGACTTCTTTGGGGCATCGTCATTATAAGCTTTTGATGAAGCATCAGTGATCTCATCATTCTTCCACCCAAGCCTCACCATAAATTTGATGTTTGTTCTCGCTTTAATTTTAGCAGAATTCATGTTGCTCTGATAGGGACTCTTGTTAAACTGATGTCTTATTCTTCTTAGTGCTTCAAACTAGGTGCTGCTCAGACCTGTCATAATGAGTTGGTACTAGTTTATTTTGGTGCAAAAAAGTTTTTCAGTTCATGCATAGTTTTTTCATAGTACACATTTTCCATTAACTTTTTGAAGACCCCTCATTTTTATGAAGACTAATACTATAAAGTCATAAATGAAAACTAGTCTCAAAATGTTAGAGTTATTGAGAGTGAGCTAATAATCAGTTCTGAAATTCAAAAAAGAGGCATTAAAGTGGGGACTCTTTCTAGGTGTGATAAATTTTTTTGCCTTCAGTAAATGTGTCGAGAACATACTATGCCCTTCACCAGAATCTTCTAGGTGCTGCGGACAGAGGGTTCAACAAAACAAAGCCACTGCTCCATTGAGCTAATTTTCCAGGTGGGAAAAGAGCCAATATACAAATATACTACTCGGTGCTATGTCAGCTATTGTAAGGCGGCCACACAGGAAAAGCAGCAGAAGGGGCTCTCCAGTTGTTGTGTCGGGAGAGGAGTTGCCATCATACTTGTAGGGCTATAGGGATGGCTGGCTGGGCCCAGTGCCATTTGAGCCTAGGCATGTATGAAATGAGGGAGTGAGCCATGAAGATTCCTGGAGGAAGGGCATTCTACGCAGACCCAAGTGCAAAGGCCTCAAGGAGAGCTGTGAGCAAGTGAGGAAGGGATAGGGAATTAGCTTGGGTTCCCAGATTAGGCAGAGCAACCACCTCAAGGACACAAAACCTTTATTAGTCAGGACAACACTGATTAGCTGCTGACACAAATGTTTCCCAAAACTAATAAACAGATGTGTATTTCTTGCTCACCTCGTGTCTATTTTGAGCCTTGTAGCTCTTTTGAGTGGCTTTCCTCCAAGCTGGTCAGTCCATCAGAGGAGGAATGCATAAAGAAAATGTGATATATATATACACTGGAATACTATTCAGCCTTAGAAAAGAAGGAAATCCTGTCATTGTGACAACGTGGATGGACCTGGAGGACATTATGTGAAGTGAAATAAACCAGGCATAGAAAGACAAATACCACATGATCTCATTCATATGTGGAATCTGAAAAAGTTGAACTCAAAAAAATAAAATAAAATTGAATAGAATTAAATCAAATTAAAAAGTTGAACTGATAGAAGCAGGAAGTAGCCAGGGATTGCAGAGCAGGGGAAATGGGTAGATGGTGACCATGAGAGATAAAATTTTAGTTAGATAGGAGGAGTAAGTTCAAGAGATCTGTTGTACACCCTGGTGACTATAGTCAATAACAATATATATTGTGTACTAGAAAATTGCCACAGGAGTGTATTAGTCTGTTTCTGTTGCTTATAAATACCTGAAACTGGAAAGTCCAGGGAACGTATCTGGTGAGGGTCTTGGTGGTGGTGACAGTGACCCAGGAGTCTCACATGTCAGAAATGGAGCAGAGAGAGATTAACCTCCTCACATGCTCTCCTTTTAAAGCCCTCAGAACCATGCTCCTGACCACCATTTTTAATCCATTCACTACAGCATGGTCCTACAATCCAATCACCTCTTCAAGGCTCCACCTTTCAATTACCATAATAGGATTTCCAACCCTCTTAACAGTCACAGTGGGGGCCAAGCCTCTAACACATTAAACTTTGGGTGGTCCACAATTCAATCCACTGCAGAGAGTAAATTTTAAGTGATCTCATCACAAAAAAATAAGTATGTGAAGTAATCCAAATGTTCAATAGCTTGATTTAGCCATTCCATAATGTGTACATACATCAAAACATTATGTTGTAGACCATAAATATATACAATTCTTGTCTGTCAATTTAAAAAAAAATTTAAAGGCACTTCTTTAGGTTTAAAAAAAGAGCAATGATTTGTAGACTAAATGTTGAAGGTGGCTGGAATTCTAATGGTCGAAGGCAGTGTCAGGAACAAACCTGCAACTCAGGGGGCAGATTGCTAGCATGTGGCTCCCGTCTTATTGGATAACTTTGTGGAAGTCATTTGGCCAGTCTTAAACAGGGAAAAATGGTCGTGACCCTAATTGTAGGGTTATTGTATTGTGGAAGTAAAGTATTTAGTGCAGTGCTGCGTGTAGGGAAAGGGCTTGCGGTGACTTAGCTATGCCATCACCATCACCTCTAGGAGTGGTTTCTGCCCCGGTGCCCAGGGTCCTGGGCATTTATAGGCAGTGCCCTGGGGACCTGCCCCCGAGGCAGCTCCTCCTCCAGCAGAGCTGCATCTCTCTCTCTTATCCTCTTGTATTGTGGGGGCTGGTTGGTTAGTTCACTTGTTTAGATTGTGCTGCTGATAACACCAAGGTCAAGGGTTTAGACACCCTTACTGGCCAGCTGCAAAAAAAAAAAGAAAGAAAAATTAGATTTCAACATTCTGCGGTAAGCTCTCTTTGAACAAAGGATTCTTCAACTGTTAAAAAATAATAGGCTGGTCAGTTAGCTCAGTTGTTTAGAGTACGGTGATAGAACACCAAGGCCAAGGGTACTGTTCAGCCACACACACACACAAAAAAACAGTCTGAGCCCATCTAGTGGCCATGGTGCCCATCCTGACCCTAACCGTCCACTCCCAGACTCAGCCGACAGCACAGCCCCCGCTTCGTGCTGTTGTTGGACGCAAGAGCCCTTGCTTACTGGAGCCTCGCCTCACTGGAGACATTCAAGCAAAAGCCGGACATCAGAAAAGGTGACTAATAAACGTACCAAAAGAACATCTTGCACAAATACCAGAATCTGATCAGATAAAATAGTTTAAGGAATTTCTTGGAACCTACCACCAGCTTACAGAAATGTGCTTTTTGGACTGTGTTAAAGACTTCACAACAAGAGAAGTAAAACCTGGAGAGAGACTGCCTGCTCAGACCACTGCTTAGAGAAATATTTCTTAATGATGCAAAGAATACCCATGAGATTTCAGGAATATCATATTCAGCAGAGTGAAGCTCTGGCAACCATAGCAGAACTCCTTGGCCAACTACTCTAGAGAAGTCCTGATGGATGAACTTTCAGTGAAAGATTGCCAACAGCTGTGGCACTGGAAATGAAGATTCGTGTGTTAGCAGTAGCCACTGAACGCAGTGACCACCACGGTAAACTGTCTGTCATGACTGGCAAATGAAAACCACTGGAGAAACAAAATTACTATTTACCAAGAATGATTAAAATAGAAGGTCTTCTTGTTCAATTAAAATAATAAGATGCAACATTTGTTGAGGCCTTGATTTAGCAGCTCAGTCATTTGATTAGAAAAATAAACCATTGTTTCTTCAAAAAAAAATTAAGTCATAGTTTGAAAATCACTAATCTGTCTTCTAGTTAGATTAATGGAGAATACTAGATGGCCTGAAAAGCCTTCCTGCTACAAATACCTGGGAATTGAAATAAAACATAAGAAGCATCCTTTTAAATGCAGAGTGGAGACTGTAAGAAAGTAAGGGAAATAACCAATGCCAGAAATAGAAAAAAAAAAACTGTAAAACTAGCAGAGTGGGCGTGTGATCCAGAGGTTGGGAGATGGGCGTGTGTGCTGGGGAAGCGGGAGAAGCATGTGTCTTGACAATCCAGGGGCTTGGGTTTTAACACCAGCATTGGGACAGGAGACAATTGGAGGACACACATTCTTTCCAAGTGCATGTGAAACATCTACAGTAACTGATCACACACACACTAGGCCACAAAACAGGTCTCAGCAAACACTAAAGAGATGACATCATACAGACTATGTTCCCCTGCCCCAAAGCATTTTAATTAGTAATAATAAAAACACACCCAAAAGCACTTTATACATTGGCAAATTTAAGAACACACTTGTAAATAACTCTGGTCAAAGAAGAAATCATATTGGAGATCTGAAAATATTGAGAATGGAGTAAAAATGAAAGGTAAGTATCTACACTCATGGGAAAGAGCTAAAACAGTATTTTGAGAGGAACATTATAGCTTTAAACACCTATTAAAGAAGGAGGAGGAGGAGGATCATGAAGAAGAAAGACAAAAACCAATGAGCTCAGCATTCAATTCAAGGAATTAAAAAAACAAAATAGAATAACATAGAAAACCCACGGGAAGCGGGAGGATATAAATGATAACAATAAGAGCAGAAATCAGTACAACAGAAAACAAAGAAATGACAGAATAAACAAATCAAAACTGGTTCTTTGAAAAGATGAAGAAAATTGGCAAATTTTCAGTGCCTCAAGGGCCCACCTGGGGACCCGAGGCATGGAGAAGGGGACTGGAACCCCCTCCCACAATCAGGCACACTGCACCAGCACCTCAGGGCCAGCCCAGTGACCCGAGGCATGGACACTCCCCACAACCAGGGACACTGCACCAGCACAAAGGAGCATGCCAAAATCATCACCTCCATGTGGGTGGCCCACCACAGCCACCACTATAACCATGGCTATCATGAAAGTGGCTAGATGGTCTGCCAGCCACTGCAGTGCATTGACACAAGGAGAGTCACCAGCAGAGATAAAAGAAGAGAGGGTCAGCCTGTGGCTCACTTGGGAGAGCGTGATGCTGACAACACAAGGTCAATGGTTAAGATCCCCTTACCGGTCATCTTTTAAAAGAAAAAAAAAAAAATAGAAGAAGAAGAGAATGTCTCTCTCCACGAAGCCCATTTCAGAGTGACAGAAGAAGCATCTGCTCTATGATAATATTGGGGGACCTGAACACACCTCTCAGCATTGGACAGATCATCTAGGCAACAAACCAACAGAGTAACCATTACTCTTTCAGAGGGAGAAAAGAAATCTAGGGTAATTAGAGAGGGGAAGCAGTGGGGGGTGGGGAGAGATTGGGCAAAAGGCATAAAAAATAATTATGATTTGTAACAATATATATGCTAGTAATATTGATTTGATCAACATATCTCAACGTTGAACCCCCAAAATATGTATAATCAATTTTGATTCAATAAAAATTTTAAAAAAAACCATAGGCAAATATTATTACAAGGTTGATCCAGAAAAGAAAAGAGAAGGTATAAATAATATAAAAAGAATGAAGATATGTTGAAGTCCTAATCCCCTGTGCCTCAGATTGCGACTTTATGTGAAAAAACAGTCTTTGGGGATGTAATTAATTAAGATTAGGTCCTCCTGGGTGGAGTAGGCGGTCTCCCTAATCCAATATGAATTATGAGCAGATGGCCATGTGAAAACACAGAGATCACCATGTGAAGATGGAGGCAGAGATTGGGGTATGTATTTACAAGACAAGAAACATCATAGATCACGGTCTATCTCCAAAACCTAAGAGAGGAATGGAAGAGATTCTTCCTCAGAGGCTCCAGAAGCAACTAAGTCTGTCAACACCTTGATTTCACACTTCTGGCTTTCACAATGAGGAGAGAATAAATTCCTGTAGTTTTAAGCTGTCCAGTTTGCAGTACTGTATTACTGCAACCCTAGGAAACTAATACAATCAATTACCATTCGAGTGATTGAAATGATAGTTTAAAATCTACACCCACACACTAGTCCAGTTCCTCCTCCTCATTGTATATACAAGTAAACTGAGGCCCTGAGAGAGTTCCCCAGCAAGTTGGTGGGAGTCATGGGTGGGGTAGCATGTGGACCTCAGAGAGCAGGTGAACAGGGCCCAAGTGCTCTTGTGACCCTGCCATGCTCTGCAGTAGGACAGTTGGCACCCACACACTTTTCATAGGCTTGTCTTTTCTTCCCAGGAACATCAAGGAGATGGAAAATTAATTCTCTACCCCAATGAGAATGTCTTCCAAATTCTCTTTCCTGATGGGACAGGCCAGATACAGTATCCACTGAGCACAGAGATGCCCATATCGACACATATCGGCACCTAAAAAGTCTATGATTTGGGGCTGGGGTGTGGGGTTTGACTGAGGCCTGTGTCCTCTGCAGGGCCCTGCCTTATCCAGGGGATCCCAAGGGATGGCTTGTGCCTTAACCATGTCCCAGTTATCCATCAGGAAACCTGGCTATGCTCATCTTCTGTACAAAGGATAAAAAGTTCACATACATCATTCTGGAAGACAGTGAGGAAGGGTGGATCCGGGCCCTTATTGACAACTCCGGCCATGCCACCTTCTATGATGAAAACCGGGATATCTGGTAAGATCGGGTCATGAGTGCCAAACACCCTCCACCCACCCATGGAGAAGCAGTGTGGGGAGAGTCTGCACGGCCTTCCTCCTGCCCCGTCTCTCTGACTCACACCTGTTGGAGATGGGAGGGTGGGTATGTGGTGCACCACATGGCAGGTCCCTGCCTTGGGGGAGACATGCCATCCTTACTGCACTGCTGCCCCCCACGCAGAAACAGCAGCCAGAGGCTCACAGTGACCACATCCTACTGGCTTCCTCTCCTAAACACCTCTTGAGATGTAAGAATTACCTTAGAAAGACCCAGTGCCTCCCTGTTCTGGGTGCCTCAGAGAGGAGGGTTTGGTAAGGGCTTTGAAGTCACATGCATTGATGGTCCCCAACTAACGATGGCTGGACTTAGATTTTCCCACTTTATGATAGTGCAAAAGTGATATTCATTCAGTAGAAATCATACTTCAGTACATTCTTCAATAAGTTACATGAAATATTCAATGCCTTGTTATAAAATGAGCTTTGTGTTAGATGATTTGCCCCAACTGCAGGCTAAGCGAAGTGTTCTAAGCACATTTAGGGGAGTCTAGGCTATCATGCTCGGTACATCAGGTGCTATTAATGCATTTTAGGCTTATTGGTGTTTTTATCTACAATGAACCTATCAGGACGTAACCCCCATCATAAGTCGAGGAGCATCTGTATTGTATACAGACTCCATGAATAAAAAGGCAACTTGCAAATATTTTATTATAACTGAACTTAGTTCGGGCCGGCCCGGTGGCGCACTGGATAGTGCGCCGCTTGGGAAGCACGGCAGCGCTCCCGTCCGAGGGTTCGGATCCCACGTACAGACCGGCTCCCGCTCACTGGCTGAGCGAGGTGCGGGAGCAACGCCGAGGCTTGCGATCCCGTCGCCGGTCCCCGGTCCAGTACGGGGGCAACACTGAGGGTTGCGATCCGTTGCCGGACACGGAAAAAAGACAAAAGACAAAAAATAAATAAATAAATAAATAAAATAACTGAACTTAGTTCTTAAGCACCCATTTCTAGTAATGGTGGAAAAGTTTTCTTATCAATTCAAGGCAACTCAGCCACTTCAAAATGTTTCTCCATCTCTTTGGGGTAAGTATTCTCTTTTCAGGATTTCCCCTTCCCTTCCCTTCTAAGTGGTCATGGTGGAAGATGCATGTATCTTGGATCGACTTTCTACTTTCTTCTTGATAGGCAAAGCCAAACATATTTTTTAAATTCCAAAATAGTGTTCTTACTCTCCAGGCCTTGGTTTTTAAGAATATTTTGTCTGCCAGGACTCTTTTTAAGTAGTTTCCTGATTGACTTGTTTGTTCTCAGAGGCACCTGCTCTCCCCTGAGGGCCCTTTGCATAGAAAATGCTGTCTGAAAAGTGGACCAAGGTCCTGGGTACAGGGAGCACCAGGGAGTAGGGGCAAGAAACTCAGGTGATTATCTCAAATAGCATCTGGTGACGCACAGTAGGGCCTCTTCTCCTTAAAGACACTCAAATTTTAGGGCCAGGAGAGATCTTGATGAAATCTAGGAACTACTTTACTGTGTAGATGAGAAAACTTAGGTTCAGAGAATATAAGTCACTTGCCCTGAGTCATACTTAAAATTATAGGCAAAAAGTTTTAGAACATTTTGACTCAGCCTAAAATAAAGCATTTTTTAATATGATCAAATAAGGTACATAAGAGATGCCACATCTTGTCCCTGAATCTCAGCCCGTTAAAACCCAAGGGGAAAGAGATGCTCAGAGCTGGGGTAAGGGCTGCCCCTGATTCTGTAGGCCTGGGGTAGGTCCTGGAGATCTGCATGATTTCCAGGTGATTCTGCAGGTCAGCTTGATGTGGGCGCCCAGGCCAGAATGCCCTCCGCTCTGCCTTTAAGGCTGCAGAAAGTGGCCAATGCCCACAAGTGGCAGCAACTGCCCACCACTGCCAGGGCAATGGCGCCACTCAAGGCTGTAAGATAAAGACAAGAGACTCCACCACATCCCCTCATTACAATCCACAGGGAGTCACCCCTCAGCCCTTCCCTTGGATCAGGAGTGGGTGGCCCCATGTGCTGACACCCCAGACAGTTGCTGGGACTCTGGGAAAGCCTCAACCTCATAAGAAAATGGCCCAGATGTCCTGTCCTGGGGGACAGCAGTGACTAGTAACTTAAACTTGCTCCTCCCCATTAACAGCCTTGTTTCTAGGCCTCGGGCACTAGCCTCATAGCCAGTCCATGGTCCACGGGTCCCTAACTTCTCACATCTCATCTCTTTCCATGGGACCTGCTGCCTTTCTGCCCTTGGAAGATTTTCAGAAATCGTGCTGAGTATGACTCCTGCAATTTCAAAAGTGGAAGAAATACCAGCGGCTTTCCTTTCTAACCTACATTCCCCCTCGGATAGAGAAAATGGGGAGGCTTAGATTTTAAAGGCTCCCCAGCGTTCAAAGCTAACCAGTCAGCCTTGGAGTGGGCCTCACAAATCTTGGCAAATGGCCGGTGCAGAGTGCCACCCACAGGGTATAAGCCAGAGCCCAGGACACCCACGAGGGGCCTCTGCTCTTACCCCACCTCGCCTGGCCTCTCTGCCACCTCCAGGAAGCGCCGCCACTCCTTTCTTGCTCCCACTTGTCCCCACAGAAGGACAGCAACCCCACCCCCACCCCCACGGTGTCACCGTCATCTTCCTTGCCCTTCTTTCTTGGTGCCGGACAGACCTTCAAGCAGGCCAAGTGGGGGAGGGACGAGCTCCCACTGCTCAGTCTCTTTGGCAGATCCCGGCCCTTGAGCACACGGGCATCTGGATGAGAGACAGACTGTCCCTGTGATGTCCCCACCACACCTGTCATCCCCAAAAAGCCCTACTACAGGGCCAGACCTCTCCCTGAATGGGCTCCCCCATCCCCAAGCTGGGTCCTTCCCAGGGGCAGCTGCACCAGAGAAAACTGTGGCTCTCAGCAGTAGGACTCGGTCCCTGAGGGGACTCATCACCAGAACTTCAGTCCTGTCACCACTGGGAGATTTTGTGGAGAAGATCCTCCAAGTCCTTGGGAACACATGCTGCTCTGCCAGGGCCCCTGACCCTGACTGCTAGAAATTTCCACAGCTGCTCCTCTGGTTCCAGCAGTCTCTGCAGTCCGTGGTGCCTTGGGCACTGGGGAGGGTCTACAGCCTCGCTTTGCAAGGACTGAATGCCGCTTGGGTTACTGTTTGCTTTCTGCTTCCTCAGAGAAGGCAGAAGGCACGAACGTCGTTTGCCGGGTGTGAGGAAACTGAGGCCCAGCACCACCCCTAGCCCCTGCTCAAGGAGTCTCAGAGCAGGCTTGTCACCAGGATTCAGGGGGCCCACACAATGAGGGACGTCACGCTTGCCCTAACTCAGGGTCCCTGGTGGATGGGTTCTACCCACTCCACCATTCAGGGTCTTCATGCCCCTTGAGCAGGAGCCTCCAGATTCCGACCATTTCTGGGAGTTCTGAATCCCATCTTCCTAAGGGAGCCTTAGCCCAGAGCCTGGCACCCCTGGGGTGTGGGGCAGCCTGGTGCAAGAGCTCTGATGGGAACCATTCAAAGGGTGAGAAGCCAGCCGGGATCTACTCTCTGCGAGTAAAATAAGATTCCTCTCTTTGCCCTCCTCTCCACCCATGACAACGAGGAAATCCTAACTTTTTCTGATCCATTGCTGTGTAGGCGTTTAACCCTCACACAACCGTATGAGTAAAGTACCATTGTTGTCCACATGTTGCAGTTGAGGAAACTGAGGCGCAGAGAGGTTAAGTAACTGGCCCAAGGTCACACAGATGGCAAGTGGCACAGGCAGGCTTTGAACCGAGAGAGTCTGGCTCCAGAGCCCAGGGTTTGAATTCATCACTGTACATACAGCCTCTTATTTAGGTAAAGAGGAATGAGGCTGGAGCCCCACGGGGAAGCGATGCAGGAGTCTGCACTCTGCAAGGGAAGCGGCAGGAGGGTTTGGCAGAGGGCAGTGACTAGGAGCCCTCCCTGCTGGAGGTGAGCAAGGCTGCCCATGGCAGGCCTCCGAGCTGACCTGTGAGGCCCCTGCACAGCCCAGGCGAGACCTGGCTGACTGTCTGAGTAATCCAGGCTCCCCCAAAGCCTGCCTTCTCCTGGCTAACCCAGGTCTCAGCATCACTTCCCTTCTTTATTGGATTCCCCGGAGATGCTGCTGCCCTGAAGCCACCAATTCTAGGGGCAGCCCTTGTGGGATTCGAAAAGCAGATGCCAGGGCCAGAGAGATATGGTGGGTTTGAAATGCTCAAAGGGCAGGCGAACCCCTAGAGGGCAAAGCCTGGGGTGACTGAGGGAGAAACCCATCTCTCTCCACTCACTGGTCACCTGTTTACATGGGTGCCTGGTGCGGAGCTGGGCGGCAGGACTTCGGCAGTCGCCAGGCAGACATGGTTCCTCCCTCCAGAAGCATACATTTGGGGAGAGAACAGACGACAGACAAGGACAGTCGATTCTCACTCTTACTGGTAGTTACTGTCTGTCAAGTCACCGAGGACACTAAATGAGCCAGTACTGAGCCCAAGGGGCCTGTATGTACACATTTCTCACAGAGTCATGGATGTGTGCAAAAATGTGAGCCACCCAATGTGCACGTCCCCAGCTGAGGCTGGACAAGGTGACATTCTGCCTTCTGGTTTCAGCTCTCACACAGAGACGACCAGAGGACAGAGACAGTGGTGCAGGGCAGTGCAGCACGGGAAGTTCAGGCTCTGGGGCCCACTGGACGGGTTTGAATCCCAGCTCTGGCACCTGTTAGTGGGGTGGCCTTGGGCAAGTCACTTGACAGTTCTGAGCCTCGTTTTCTCTTTTATAAAATAAGGAAAATCATGGGCCGGCCCGGTGGCGCACTGCTACAGTGCACAGCTTGGGAGCGTGGTGGCGCTCCCGCCGAGGGTTCGGATCCCACATACAGACCGGCCGCTCACTGGCTGAGCGAGGTGCGGGTGCAACACCGAGGGTTGCGATCCCATTGCCGGTCACGAAAAAAGACAAAAAGGAAAAAAAATAAATAAATAAGGAAAATCAAATCTACCAGGATGGGTTGTTGTTAGGATTTAAGACTGTAATCTGTGTGAGATACATATATGTGCACACGTGTGTACATGAGTATATGTACCTATACATAGCGTGTTTCTCCTGGGACCTATGGGCTCGGGATTCACTAAATCAGTGACTTTATAGAGCATAGCTACCGTGAATCACAAGAATTGACTGTATCTATTGTATGAAGTGAACTCACAAGGGGTGGAAATGGAACTAGAGTGCTGGTCAGGAGGGGCCCTCTGGAGCAGGTGACATTTAAGCTGAGGTCTGAAGGGTAAGCGGGCACCAGCCATGCCACTAGGGCGGGAGAGCTTTCTAGGCAGAGGGAAAAGTGTGGCAAAGCTGTGAGGCGGGAGGAGCAGGCGGACGCAGGAACTGAACAGAGAAGGCGTGAGGGGCCGGGCACGCCTGCCACAAGGCTGAGTGTGGCCTTGGCCCGGCCTGAAGGGCTTGACGGGCCTCGGGCTGGCCTTCCTTGTTGGAGAAACCTACCAAGACCCTGTGGGCCTTTCTGTGGCCAAAGAGGGAAAGGAGGAGGGAAGGTGGGAGGAGGGATGTGGCCACCTGACGCGCCTTCTCCCGCTGCAGGCTGAGCCTGAGCCTCAACCTGGGCTACTACTTCGCCAGAGACAGAGGCCCGAAGGCCTGGAACTGGTGGAACCTGGACATCCACGTGCATGCGCCCCCTGTGCAGCCCATCTATGTGAAAATCAACCAGTACATCCAGGTGCATGTCAGGAGCCAGGATAAGATCATCTTCTGCTTCACCCACCACCAGAAGCGGATCTGTTTAAACCTGGGCACCAGGTTCAAGGTAAGGTCTCAACCTCCCACCTCCTCTGCTGGGCAGGCTGCACCTGTACACAGGCCGCTGCTGGTTGGACTGGTCCATGCCACAGGCCTCCAAGCCACATTCTGTATCATGCCACCTTCCTTTACCTGGTTCTTGACCACATACAAACACACTCCTGTCACCTTCCAGTGCCATGAGATCGGCCTTAGGCTTTGAGCCCAACAAAGAGCAAAGGTGTGAACAGGCACTATCTCACCTGACACTCGTGACAGCCCTGTCAGGAGGCAGGCCCAGGAACAAGGGGGACGTGTGTCCCCAGCCATGCCACTGGTGTCCTCTTCTCTCCTCCCCAACACACGCATCTCAAACTAATGAACGGTCACCTGGACGTTTGAAGTACACCGCCCAGGCTGGACAGGAAAGTAGCAATGGTGTGTTCATTTCCTGGGGCTGCCGTAGCAAGTTACCACAAACTGGAAGCCTTAAAACAACAGAAACTTATTCTCTAACAGTGCTGGAGGCCAAAAGTCTGAAATCCAGGTGTCTGTGGGCCACCATCCTTCCAAGACGCTGATGGAGGGTCCTTCCTGGCCTCTCCCAGCTTCTGGTGGCTCCAGGCATTCCTCGGCTTGTGGCCGCATCACTCCATTCTCTGCCTCCATCTTCATATGGCCTTCTCTTTCACATGTCCCTTTTCCTTTCTCTTAAAGGGACACCAGTCATTGGATTTAGGGCCCACCCTTAATCCAGGATGATCTCATCCTGAGATCCTTAATTACATCTGGGTTTGTCCTGGAGGGTAAGCACCGCCGGGTCCTTGTCTATTGTGTATGCAAATAGAAACACAAAGACAGCAATCCGAGCCTCTAACAGAAAGGAGTATATTGGGTTGTGCAAATCAGGAGCCAGGTGCTCTCAGGACCCAAACCAAGCTCCCGAGCAGGTGGGAGTTGCAAACATCGTTGCTACCCTGGATTTCCCAGAGCAGCCAGCCCAGGAAAGAGGTGACCAGTGCTCCTGCCCCTGAGCCACCCATTGGCACTCTTGCCACAGCAGTGACAAGCCCAAGAGAGGCAGCTGGGCTGGGCAGTGTGAGGGCAGGTAGCTGGAGGGCTGGTGGCTGAAGGGTGATGGGTTCCCTAAGGGAGAAGGGCCGGGAAGGGAGACCACGCCCAGAGAGGGCACGTGCGGGCCACGTGGGCAGAGGCTGACGGGGGCTGCGCTAGCACAGGGGGTCCCACGTGAGGCAAAGCAGCACAGATGTCAGTGTCAGCGGAAGGCGACAGGGCTGAGGCTCAGCAGAAGCAGGGACAGCCAGGACTGATTGGCCAGGGTGCCCTGGGAGCAACATGCCCTCCAGGCCCGGCCCCTCCACCTCCTGGTGAGGTGGCCCGTTGTCTTCTGTAAGGTGGACACAGGTTGTTGTGTGGCTTAAGTAAGATAGTTCATGTGGAGACATTTCATAGGCTGCCTCATAGAAAGAGAACGTGTTGATATTATCCTTTATTATTTCCCTTCCAGAAGACTTTTTCCTGTCTTCCGGAAGCTACAAACCAAGGCAGAAGTTGACATAGTGGTGGCCTCACCGGGGCAGGGCCTCATCCCAGCAAAACCCAGATCTGCTCCAAGGGAGCCTGAGAGGGAGTGGGGGTCACAGGCAGACAGCAAGGGGCCTCCCAGCCCCATGGTGAGAGCCCGTGGGTGAGAACCCAATGCCCCCAGGAGAGCACAGCCCTGTGCCAGGCCAGGGCACAGCAGCTGGCCTCCTATGGTTTGGGGTCAGGCTGGGGTGTGGCCTCGGCTACACCACCACAGTCCAAGTCCATGTGACCACAAGCACAGGCCACGTGAGCGTGCCTGGGGAAGCAGCAGAAAGGTCCCGGGGCAGTGCTGGCAAAACAGATTTGCCCTTGAGGGTGAAGTTTCCAGGGAAGACTCGTCATGGTCACAGGGGGCCTCATCCTGGGGGTAGAGAGGCACAGCACCCGGGCAGCGGGGACCCTCACCTAGTCTTCTGTGAACCCCGCAGTTCGTAACCCCGGAGGTGCTGAGTGCGATGAGGAAGAAAGCAATCCTGCAGGTGGAACCCGGCCCAGCGGCTCAGAAGATCCAGATCCTTCTGGGAAAAATGAGTAGGATCCTGAATTTCCTGACCGTCCCTGATTTGGAAAACTTCATAGAGGCCGGCCATATGTTGCCAGTGGGCAACACATACCCAAAGAAGAACTCTCACGTCTGGTTTTAGGGCAGTCACCAAATTGTCCCAGGGCTCCTCCAGCATCCACTGAGTATCTTGGGAAGGGCGGTGTCATCAGGAGCTCCAGGGAGTACCCCAAAGCCCTGTTTATGTCTTCTGAGAGTTGGTTTGTAATTTGGGACCTGTCATAGCTCCTTGATTTAAAAAAAAAAAAGTAAGTTTTTGGGGGGGACTGACAGAATCTGTGACTGGACACAGGAAAGATGTAATCGTCAGCCCTGATCTGATAGCACTGGGAGTTGTCATTTCATAGGCAATACATGCCAACACCTGTTCTGCCGGCTCCTACTGTCACTTGCAGGAGCTCTTTCGCGACTCTCAGCACTTGCCTTGATTCAGGACACAGACTGTCTGTGCTCAGATCCTAGCTCTGCCCCTGTTGGCTGTGCCTCAGTTTCCTCATCCATAAAATAGGCCCCAAAATAGTAAGTACCATCACCGAGCTCTGAGTATTGAATTAGCTAATGCATGAAGGGTTCCTAGAACAGTGTGTGGCCCACGGGAACCACTCAGGAAGTGTCACTCCAGTGGTCGTAAGCTCAGCCTTTCCCTTCATATCTGGGCAGCTCCAGGGAAGCGTTTGTTAAGCGTTATCTCTTAGGCGAGGCTGGGTGTTTGCACTTTGCTCGGCTCACAGAGACACAGCCCCGTTCAGCTTTCTCAGGCCTTTCTCCTCATGACACTTGCTAGTTTTACTGAGTCTCTACCACGAGCCAGGCGGGCCCTGTGCTGAGTTAGCACCACGCAGGTTCTACCTCGTGCAGCTCTGTGACATGGAGAGTATTTTTTCGAGGACACTGTGGCTCAGAGAGGTTAAATGACTTACCCAGCATCACACACTAGTGAGTGGCAGTGATGATTGGCCTTCCCACCTACCCAACTACAAAGTGACATCACTGGTGACAGCATGGGTTTTTTGTGACTCCCCACCACAGAGCATCTCAAAGGCTCAAGGCTCCCCAAATGCTACTGCCCCATTCCACCTTGGAGCATGGCCACCTCACCCTGCCGCAGGGATCTCTGGAGGCCAGGCCTAGCCACCCAGCTGCTGCTGACTCGGCACAAAGCGTGCATCAGCCTCCAGAAGTCCAGCTGCTCCTCCTGGCTTCGGAGCGCTGGGTGATGCCCCCAGAACACAGCGCCTTGCCCTAAGGCTAAAGGAGTGGACAGTAGAAATGACTCTGCTCCAGGGTCCACTGCATTTTCTGCACTGCCCCCAGAAAGCTCTCACCAATCCTGACCTCATCGCAAACACTCCTTTGTCCACCCCTGCCAAGGTAGAGGGAAATACAGACAGCAAACCCACACCTACCTGCACCCGTCCCCCAAACCAGGAGCCAGAAAGGAGAGCTCCTTCCAACAGTTAGACACTTTGGGTCACTGGTAAGTTACCAACCCAAGCAGCTAAAGCAAAATGGGAAATGTGTCATCTCTGGACAGAAGAACACTGATCCAGATAGAAGCTGCCATGGGCCTCAGAAAGGACTGGAGCCTGGGAGGCCTGCAGGACCCGGGAGGACTTTCTGTCCCTCATCTCAGTGACACTCATCTTATGCTAGAGACATGCTTTCTATGCATCTCAGTTCACACGGCTTTTTCTCCCGATCACTCTCAAAAGCCCCCAGTGGTCTCTGGTTGGCCAGCATGGTAAGAGAGGGTGGGAAAATGGCTTATAAGCACGGCTCCCAGCTGATGCCTGAGCACGGAGAGTCGCAAGAATTTCTAGAAAAGGGGACTCGAGCTGGGCAGCTCCCCACAGGGTGCCTTTTGTACATCCCTGGGACACTCTCAAACTTCCCAAGATGACCTTAATTCCAGCCTCAACCTGGTTTGGCTTAAACAACAGAAATTTACTGTCTCACAGTCTGGAAGCTAGAAGTCCAAGATTAAGGTGTCGGTGGGGCCATGTTCCCTCTGAAGGTGCTGGGAAAGGATCTGATCCAGGCCTCTCCCCAGCTTCTGGTAGTTCCTTGGCCTGTGGCAGCATAACCCCAATCAGATGGCAATCTGCGTGCGTGTGTGTGTGTGTGTGTGTGTGTGTGTGTGTGTGTGTGTGTCAAATTTCCTCTTTTTATAAGGATACCAATTATATTGGACTAGAGCCCAACCCACTTCAGTACAACCTCATCTTAACTAATTACATCTCCAACAACCTTATTTCCAAATAAGGCCACATTCCAAAGTACTAGGAGTTAGAATTTGGGGGATACCATTCAATCCTCTCCACCTCATACCCCTGGTCCTTCCAAGTTCCCCATATTCCTGAGGGAACAGATTCTATTTTATCTGCAATGACTTGGCAGAAGACACTTCTAGAAACAAAGATAAGCTGGCCGGTTAGCTCAGTTGGTTAGAGTTAGAGCGCAGTGTTGTAAAACCAAGGTCATAGGTTCAGATCCCCTTACCAGCCAGCTGTCAAAAAAAAAAAAAGAGAGAGAAAGAAGAACTGTGTTGGGCTGTTCATCAATACCAACATGGTAGGTTACACACAAGGATTTTCTGATGGGACTTTAATCGGTAAAGCTCCAAGGTAAACGCAGCCTCTTCCAGTGCTCTCAGGAAGGGTGTTTCCTTACTAATTAATTGAGCTGTGAAAAAATACACACTGAGCACACCCCACATGCTGCTGCAGAGATAAGAGAAAAGAACAGGCTGTCTGTGCTGGTGGGGCTACTGTCTGGGGCCACAGAGAAGCAACCACAGCAAAGCCATCCACAGTGTTGTCAGATGGAGGCACCTGGGGCGAGGAGCAGTGGCAGGAGCCTTTGAGGAGGCTGCAGAAGGAAGAGGAGTTGGGGGCGCCGTGTACACTAGGCATCGCAGGGAGAGGCAATGGTGGTGCAGAGTCAGAGAGCCAACGTCCAGAAGAGACAGGGTTATGGCATTTGTAGGTGTGTTGGACACATACCTTTTTCTGGCTGCCCAAGCCCCTGCCTCCAACTATAGAAACTATCAAAAGGTTGTATCGGCCATCAGCCAGGGTCCAGGCAGAAACCACACCGGTAATTCAAACAGGGAAAATGTAATGAAGTATTAACAAGTTAATACTAAAAGGGGTAAAAGAGAACTCGAAAAAATAAAAGAACAGCAAATGCAAAGTGTGGCACGCTCCCTCTCTCTCTCTCTCCCTCATCCCCACCCCCACCTCAGTGGTTGGTGCGGGCACACAGGAAGTGAGGAAGTGCTGCTAGGGTGCAGAAGCTGGTTTACAGGAAGCTTCTCGCTGGGATGCCAGAAAAATTCACTGAAGAGGAAGTGACCAGACCTCTCACACTATGCTGGCAGTCATAATGTAAAGGGAAAAACAGACACCCCCAGAAACAGAAAGAGACCCCCTTCTCTATGCCTTGCAGTGTTCCTCCAGCATCCTACAAAGCCTAACATTGCACCAGCTGACACACACACACAAGCGCGTGCAAGCCATGGGGAGTTAGCTTGGCCACGATGAAAGCAGCTGCAGAGAAGGCCAGTCCAGGCCCTACCACAGCAGTGGAGACAGAAACTCTTTCTGCTTTGAAACAAAAATGCATCTGTGATGCTTCCTGCTCTTATCCTTCTGGTTCTCCAGCCTCCAGTTTATTCCCCACTCCCCTCTATCTTTGCAATAAAGCCCCTTCCTGCCACAGTTAGACAGTGACACCTTCTATTGCTTGCACTCAAGGACTGTGATCAATAGAGGATAAGCAGCAAGGAGGAGACGAGCCTGAGACGAGCAGGGGCCTGAGACCCTGCGACCATCAGGAGTCCAATGCTTTAGCTTCCAGGACCAAGAGGGAGGGGAAGAGTTAATAAGACTGTTCTCTTGAAGTAAAAATATTTCAATATTTAAGCAAGGAACATGGAACATGAGGGCCTTGACTCAGGGCAATGGCATTGGAAATAGAACGGAGAGGAGGGATTAAAGAGCTGTTTGGGATAGAGAATGGGCAGGAATCAGTAGGAATGGGATGGTGTGGGGAAGGCTGCATGACTTGGGCAACAGTCATTTAACAAATACTTCTTCAGTATCTACTGCAGGCCCTGTTGTAGGCACTGGGTATACAACAGTGAACAAAACAAAGTTCCTTTCCCACGGAGCTTACAATTGGGGAATGGGACGGGGGTGGGTGCAGACAGAGAGACAAAAAACAAGCAAGCAAAATATACCATGTGTCATGTGTGAAGACAACTAAGCCACACGAGGGGAACAGAAAGAGCTGGGAATTGGGGGGTTGTCATTGTATGTAGCAGGGTTTTGCAACCTCTGCACTGTTGACATTTGGGGCCAGATAATTGTTATAGGCCGTCCTGCACATTGTAGGATGTTTAGCAGCATCCCTGGACTCTACTCACTAGGTGCCAGTGCACCCCCCACATATACCAGTCATGACAACCAAAAATGTCCTCAGACATTGCCACATGTCCCCCAGGGCGGGGGGCAGAGATCATCACTTGCTGAGAACCTGCTATATATACTGTTTGTGTTTTATTGTTTTGTTTTTATGGCCCAGCACATGTCTATCTTGACAAATGTTCCATGTATTATATTTGAAAAAAAAAATGTCTCCTGCAATTTTAAAGTATTCTGAATTTACTGATGGAGAAACTCAGAAATATTCAGACTGTGGTTCATTCTATAAGACAGTGGCCTTAGACTCCTTAAAAAACCAAAAACCTTAAGAGGAGTGGTCTAAAAAGTACTCTGAAGAGATGTGACAACCAAGTAAAATGTGTGAACCCAAATAATTTAAAAAAGCTATGACACATTTTGGGGGGACAATTGGGGAAACTTAAAATATAGACTACATATTAGATTTTTTTTTTTTTTTAGGTATAATGTTATTCAGGTTATATAGGAGAATGTCCTGATTTAGAAATAAATGCTGAACGATTTAGGGGTTAAATTTAGGAGTAAAATATCATGATGTCTGCAACTTACTTTCAAATAGTTCATCAAAAGAATGTGTGTATGTCTGTATAAACTGATAATTAAAACCCACTTGATTTCA